AAATATTCATCTATATTCCCTTACAAGCTGCGCTCCGTAATGAGTTCACTACTTCTTACCAGCAGTCGTGGTCCGATGAACATCAAAGCCCGCCTGCACACATGCAAGAATGCGCGCCCTCTCGCTAATCAGCAGCCGCGCGCGAACCGCTTGCGCAGCCAGCCCGGTAGGAATAGATGGCGCCACCAGGCACTGGGTTAATTGCGGCGCTCCCGCAGGTGGGGGGGGGGGGGCACGCGGAAGGCAACGCGCAAAATGCAGGCAGTTTAACATCGCTTTTGCTGATTTTTGCGCATCGAGTCACGTATCTGCCCCCACCCTCCCCCCCCCCCCCTCCCCCCACCTTGGCACCGTGTCACTTTAGCACCGAAGTTCTGAAAGGTACAAGATTCGGGGATTGTCGTCTTCCGCCCCCGCAGTAGTCCAAATGGCATACAGTAGTAGCTTTCGCCATGCGCGAAAGAACTAGTTGGGAGGCGGCGCCTATTGGCGCTTTTCGTTCCTGCATTCAAGCATGACTGAGTTTCGCGGCAGATTTCCTCGAAAGTGCAAAGTTGAATTCGGAAGAGATGTTAACGAGTCTACTGCGTCGCGCACTCCGCAAAGACTGGCAGTCGTCGCGGAGCACGCGAAACACAATATGCGGGTCAGAAGTTGTATAGGGCGGTAAAATAGACCTCCTTAAAGGCACTGTCCACCCTAAGTTAAGGGTCTTGAGCTTTTGGCTATATGATAGTAGTGCCCCTATTAAGTCAATGGCCAAGTCGCTGCGCAAAACGTCGCTTCGGAAGCGAGAAATTCGTTCCGGAATAACGAAGATGCACGAGGACCACTACAGGCACCGCCTTCCCCATCCATGCCCGCCCATCCGTGCGCGCCCAGCCAATCACCGTTCCGGAAAGACTTGCGAGTGCTCCGGGACGAGGATTGTCGGGACCTTCAAGGACTCTCGACATATTCGGAATCAGGGACATGGGAAGGCCCCGGAACGATCAAAACATGGAAGTGAGCATCTGGGTGGACGGTGCCTTCAAGATGGGCCTTGTGCAGTTACACACTTTCTGCATTTGCTCAAAAAAGTACGAGAACTTTTAACGTAGGACTTTGCTTGATCATGAAGGTTGGCGAATTTGCAACCATTGCTCAAACGACACGTCGCAAGAGCTTTTTGAGTTCTCTCATAACAAACGATTCCTGCTATCAAACTCTCAATCACATGAAAGTTTTCGAGAAATGTGCGGGGTTATTTCGTATTTAAGTGGCTTAGGACCCTGTGCCGTCCTATTTGTGCAGTGTCCGCAGAAGATACGACCTTCATGATCTGACAAAGCTCTCTACGTGCATGTCTTCATGTTACTTCTTTCGTGGCTGCAGAATGTCCTCTCAATCTGATTATGAAAAAATATTTGAAAAAAAAATACAATACCTATGAATTTTCGTTCGTGATCTGATTCGAGCAAAAATCAATGAAATCAGTCCTTGTAAGAAAATAGATTGAAATGCGTATACAACAGATATGCAAGAACAGAAGCAAACAAGAGTAATAGAAACTGCTCAAATGTGATAAAGCATGAGAATCAATGCAGGAAAAACCAAGCGAAAAATCGCAAATTTGCAACATTTATCATCATTTATTAGTTTGACTCCCCTTGGATCATCACTATGAGAATTCCAGGGAATTTCGTTGGTCATGAACGAAAAAAAAGGGTGTTGTGTGCAAATATCATGAATAGAGATCAGCACTGAGGCCGTTAATCTCACACACTCATACGATTATTGCAATATTTACGGTCACCAATGATCGATTCAAAGAGCATGAAAGGTAAAAGCGGGACTGTGAAAAGTGCTGGCAGAGACTGCAACGTTCAGAATTTTTATTGATGGACGTGAAGCAGCACAAATTTCTGATTAGAGAGACTAGTTTGAAAAAAAAATTACCAGATCCGACGCAGGACTGTTTACCATCTTTTTTGACAACAAAAATGACTTTGAAGCATACGATTTGAGCGTTGCTAAGAAACGGATAATTTACTTATCTATAAACAAATAAACAAGTTTACTGAATATGGTATGAGGTGAAACGAAACGTTCATACCAATTTTATAAATTCTGTGTTAGTACAGATTTTACTACCTAGGATCGCAATCTTTAAAAGGCCGAACGCGTACTCTTGACCTTGAACAATTCGATTTTTGCAAAGTTTTTTGATGCTCATGTTACCCGTTCAAATTTAACAATGTGTCGTGGGTAATGCACAAAAATTGCTAGAATCAATATCGTCTGATACAATGTTTCGTGCTGCAATAATGCTTTTTTTTTCTCTATAATAAGATTCGTTTGTCAAACAATGATGACGCTTTCGTAACACAGCTGTAAGGCATCCTTGCAGCTTATTTCACAATCGTAATGGTACTTATATATGCAGCATATGTTCCATCGCAGCACAGCATTCTGTTTTTTTCTATAAAGTTGTCCTCCCGTGGAAAAAAGTAAGTGTGATTTAACCATAGGGACCGCAAAAATAAAAATCTGATATAAAGAAAAAAAAACGTAAGCAGTTTCATTTTATGAATGAAGTGCCATACGGTGACGAACAGAAAAAGAGTTTGCGCAAGCCAAATACCGCTCTGCTGCCGCTACGCGGCAATATTGTGACTGTAAGTATACAGGGTGTCCCAAAAAAATGTGAACACTCTTTGATCGTTAATAATTCCGTTGCTTTCATGTCTTTCGCCGAGCTTGGGGCACCATTCTGTAGAACGAGGTTCAACTTAGATTTGTGGTATGGAGCGAATCATCGATCGCTCTTCATTACTTTAGGATTACGGTATGAACTTCTGACATGTGGTATATTGTGAAATATGCCATTTGACAAAATTCTTTTCAAAAAATCTGAAAAATCGTGAACTAAGGTTTTCGCCCTCGCTGATTCCATAACATAACTTTTTACGAGTGTTTTTAGCTTTTTTGACGGTGTAATCGCATTTTTGACAAATGCTGGAAATTCGGTTATTAAGGTTTACCTGGGATAACCTTGGAAAGAAGCGTCACAGCAAGGTGGAAATTTCATATTCGAACTCAGCGGCTTCCATTTCCTATGTATAGAAGTTTTTGGCTTGTTTGGTCTTGTTCCGAGGCAGAATATGGCTTTCAATGGCTTATAATCCTTGTCAAAGTTCCTACCGTAATCCTACAGTAATGAAGAGAGATGGACGACTCGCTCTATACCATAAATTTAAGCTAGACCTCGCTCTATAGAATGGTGCCTAAAGCTCGGCGAAAGACATGAAAGCAAGGGAGTTATTAACGATCAAACAGTGTTCACATTTTTTTTGGGACAACCTGTAGTTAGCACCGAATATTTTTCGAATATTCGTATTCGAATGATTTATTCGAACTAGAGAAGTCGAATATTCAGGAAAATGCACTTATTCGATTATTCGAATAGGCGAGTAAATGAAAAACACGTTTATTCGAATGTTTGTTTATTCGACGAATTGAATAAACAACTTATTCAAAAATTATTCGAATATCCGAATAAAATTTCGAATTAGTTGTTTACTCATTTCTTCGAATAAACAAACATTCGAATAAAAGTGTTCATATACTCGCCTATTCGAATAATCGAATAAGTGCATTTTCCTGAATATTCGACTTCTCTAGTTCGAATAAATCATTCGAATACAAATATTCGAAAAATATTCGGTGCTAACTATAACTGTAAGTGTGGAACAAGCAGCGGTTTAGTAGAGGAGACTGAGGAGAAGTGACAACTGTTTTTCCTCGTGACCAGCATGCTCACATTTCCGCCTCCGCCAATTTTTAGCCCTCCAAAAGATAAAAATCAATAAATCGATAACGACAATCGAAGTTCTGGTAAAAAGCTTAGTGGCATTAGCCCGCCCAAAGTTTTTGTTTGCAGAATTTGGTACAGAAATATTGATTCTTTCGATCGATTTAGGCCGGTCACAGATGAAAACAGCAAAGAGCGCGTAACTTGTGAAAGGCCAACCAAGGATTTTTTGGTGAAATGGTATTATATTCAGTATATTTATTTTCTGCAAAAATCTTAATCTTTCTACAATTTTGGGCCTGTCATAAATAAAACGCCTAAGCAAAAAATGAGTTTTTTTATGGATTTAGAATGATGAAAAAAACTGACATTTAGTGCAAGCGCGCTATAAACACCAAGTCCAAGTCTTTATGGAAAAGGAAGTAAATGAGCCTAACCTAGTATAGACGATTCAACGCACGCAGAGACTGAACGTCGCTGCGGCCAACAAGACAGCCTTTTCTTAAAAGGCAGATTTTGAGGGGCAGACGGTGGAGGGGAATAGAGCACGTGATCAGGGGACGCCGACGGTGTACGCAGTAGCGGACTGTCTCAGCATGCGATGACTCGCCTATACGTTTAAGTACTGTTCTCAATTTGCCTAAGTTAAATATTTGCACGTAAATCATGGCAATATGCGCACCACAACCGTTTTTTACGCGCATATCGCAAGCGAGTTCTCCGTATTTTCAGTGACATTTGTTCCCGCGCGAATGTTGTCAACACCGCAGAGTCGCTACATTATACGTCAAATTCGCTAGATCGGCAGTTGCCATCCTTCATTAAAAACCACTATGTGGGCTTATATAGTACTAGATGGCTTACCCGGCTCCGCCCGTCCCTCATTATTATATTCGTAATCAGCATGCTCGATTACCCCCCTGTACCAACTCCCAGCCCCGTAGCTCAAATTTTGCAAAAAATCGATAAAATCGATATCGATCGATGACGAAAAGTAGCCTATGACACCCGCCGGGGCCCAAAGTGTATGTGTGCCAAGTTTGGTCCGGATCGGTTCAGAAATGATTTTCTATTCGGAACATACGTACACACAGACAGACAGACAGACAGACAGACATACAAACAGACATTCAGCTTTATATATAAGATGGACAGATTATGAGTACAGCAAAGAGTAGGGTGGGATTGATAGAAGATCTCAGCCAGTATGCAAGTAGCCGAAATAAAATGGGAGAATGTACGGAGGGATTTTTGCCTGCCTGAATACTTTAGGATAAGCCCTTTCGGAAACAAATCAAAACCACTTTGGAGCTAGTATAATCAGCAGGCTATACGATAGGTCCTAAAATGATCGAGAATCAAAATTTTCGACTGTGATACTTTTCTTACAAACAAACACCCGTAAATACCCCCTTTCTCATATACTGTAATCTTCAATATAACTCGAAAAAACCAAAAAGCGTTCACAAAAAATAACTGCAGAAAGAAGTCACAACGACAATCACAAATTAGACCCTAGAAGTTGGGTGACCAATGAGTGGAACTGGAGAACCTCGTAGCAAAAACTCCGAGTTCACTCTCGTTAAATAGCGATAACAAACAAACAACGGGGCTGCGATTAGGAAATGACCGAAAACTGGCGTCACAGCGGAAAACAATGAACTGCAAGGGTGCAGTCTGTCGATAATTTTGCTCAGAGCGATCATTAAATCACCAAATAGATCAAATCCAGTCTACAAATGAATACATCATAAGGAGAGAATTGTACAAAGCCTCTCATATTTTTGAAACAAAGCAGTTATTAGTGAAATGGAATTTTTGGGATGATCGTCCATGAATTTAAGAATCACACAAACAACTGTTTCCTCGAAAAATCCATCAAGTAAACAGCTTGTATTTGTTCCGTCTTTTTGGCGCCCTGTACGCAACCACACCACTGTTGCTAACGAAAAGACAACTTCGAAATTTTTGAGGTTGTCTATCGCTACTATCAATCTGTTTTTCGGCATATGGTGAGCTCTTGAGTATTGTGTTGATACATATATGTTTCAGATGGCTTTTCATATATTGCACACCTTGAAACATGGCGCAGAACTGCCTCCGGAAGTAATAAATTATATGTACGCTTCAGGAGCCTTTGTGGTGAGTTCTTTTACGTTTCTTTGTTTGCTTCTTGTAATTTGAAATGTTTTCTTGGAAGCATTCTTTTTGAACTCGCTGTTCCACGCTGAAGATGATTAGTTTCTAGGAAAACGTATACTGCTGCTATTCTGCAAAAAAATAAATAAAGCTCCAAGAAGGGAGTTTTTGCAGGAACTAGATGTAAAGAATCATCAAATTCGAATTTTGATAGCGTTAATTGCATTTATGTTGTACTGCACGCTCATCTCTCAATTGGTGCGGTATTCCATTTTGAGAAGATCAAACACTCTTATTGTTCTGGTCGGTCAAATAGATAAGCAATTTTTAGATTCTCAAGGATTTCCCTGAAGGCCACGAATTTGGTATTGACTATAAGTCATGGACTGTAGGCCCAAAATTCATGGGTCTCAAGATGATACCTGCTGGAGTTCACTTCGTTTATTGTAGCGTCAAAGGAGCGCCGAGGATAGGTTGGTCTTTGTTCCAGAATGTTCATGCCTTCGTATCTCATATGGTAGTTACCATTATCTTTCTTTCCAGGATTTTTTCACAACTTTATATCTGAGGAAATAGTGGTGAAGAAATGGGATAAGATTAAGGAAACCTTTTCCGATGAGGTTGTATCTGACGAAGAGGTTGATGACTTAGACTTTTGATTCTTATCGTGCAATTTGAGTTTCCTTTTATGTCTGATCACGGTATCATAATACATTTTGCACACAGCTTTCACAGATTTGTGATACATACAGTCGAGTAGATTTCCCGCTTAATATAGTTAGTGTACTTGCACAATTCATGAAATGCGGTAAAATTTGCGCGTGAACAGGTAGCTGCGTCAGCACTGCCGGCATTTTGCGCGCGCAACTCGCTGGCGTCACAGTCGAAGCTATTTCTTCACGCGCAAATCTTACCGCATTTCATTAACTGTGCAAGCACACTATATTAAGCAGAAAATCTATTCGACTGTGTATTATCTATGTGCGCTGCATATGTACTGGTGTTTCGGACCTCACAAGTCGATTACGGTGCACGCCGCTTTGCAGTCTGCGTCTCTTCATTCTGATCTATCTCGCTGGGCCACCGGCGGTGCGGACGCGCTGCTCAACTTGAAATGTTTCGCCTACTCCGGGTTGAAAAAGACTGTAGTCCTCCACCCCTGCGGTGCACGCGACGCGCGGTCAAGCGCTTTTTCCTTTTCTTTGCGGTCGACGAACAACCTATAGGGCCTAGATAACGAGTGAAAATTTGCGCATTATGCGCTTAACCGACAGGTTCGAGTAATCCAAGTGGCGCATTTTTTCCCATTTGCTATAGCCTCGTAAAGCTGTCATTGCTGGAATATCGCCATGTTGCTTGCTCAACTTGATTCGATACGGTATTGGTCTGGGAAGCTATCACCTCCACAGCACCGTACACTGTATCTTGCTCAAGGTTACTAACCGCATGAACTTTAGCTGTTGGACTACCCAAGCGTCTTTTGTTGTTGCTTGTTTTAGAGTCACCAATAAGGCACTCTTGTTAACATAAATCTGAGGGTGTTATAGCAGTAAGAATTTTCATGCACCTTTCTGTAGGAGGGTCTATGTTCTGGTAGAACAATGAAGAAAACTACTGGAGAGGCTAATTTCTAACGCTATATATTGTAGGTGAATCGGTTCAGAATGAATCTGAAGAACATAGACTCGTCACTTGGCCCATATCCTTTTGAAAATTACCGAAGTTGGTATGCGTTAACGGATTTCATCAACGGACAAACGGTGGAGAGGTAGTCGTTTTTGTACAACATTATTAAACTATTCACGTGAAATCATTTAGATTGAATCCTTTGAAGGGTAAAATATCAGCACAAGCCGAACTTGTAAGTATGGAAACGTGCTTGATGGAGAATGAGGAGGTGTGTTCTAAGGTGCAGACTAGTGGTTACTTTCCATTTTTGTTTTCGCTTGAAGTCAGAATTTCTTTTTCAATGTTTAGCTCAATGCTACTGTTGGCTGTAGTAATAGTGTCGATCGGGAGCATCCAGTTCGTACTCGATTCGTAGACTCGCAAGGGTTGCCCATTATGAAGATAAGGGAAGGATTTGAAATTCGATTTTTGGCAATACCGCAGCTAAATATGAGTAGAAATCATGTGAATCCTTTTTTGTTAGTTAACTTTGCACGTCTATAGGCAGATGAAAATCGAGTGGGCATAGACTACACAGATCGACTGGAGCGAGTCATACGACAGCTTGATGGTGACTGGAAGCAGCTACTAGCCGAAGTGCAATTTGCCTTTGCGTGCTTTCTCATTGGACAGGTGCGTTGGAGACTCGCCCATTTTTTCTCTTGTCATTGTCATCGTGATAGTTTTTGAGGCTAGCAATGTATGATCATGTTTGATCATTGGATCATACTTGCCTCAGGCAAGCTTTACACGGGAATTTGAAAAACGGCTTTAGATATATTCACATATGAGATGGGTTGTGGATTACTCCTTATACTGATCTAGAACGTTTAGAGGAGGTTTCACGCACTAGATTAAGAATCAAAACCTGTTCAAAGGGGTGTTAAAGTTGGATGTGAGTTCAGAATTTGCTTACAGCCAATGTCAACCACATGTTCCCTTTTCCGTAACAACTACGCATCCGTAGGGCGTGGGCATCGCGCAGCGTGCCCCGATCAATGCGGTTAATTACTGCTTAAACAGCGCGCCCCCCTACGCGGCACGCGGCTCTGGCATTGCGCTTGAGCTGATCGGAAAGGGAGCACATAGTTGACACGGACTGTACCTACAAAATGAAGTTTGCAATTTAACGTAATTCTTCTACTGAAGCAGCATGAACATGCGGTAACACCAATTTTCTTGGTTGTGTTTCATACTGTTATAATTGAAGGATATTGCAAAATTGTACAGTGCTTGGTCATCTGCTATTTGGGAGTCATCACATGATCTCGAGGTTTTTTGGAATTTTTTGGAAATGTTTGTTGAAAGTCATCACATGATTTTCGAGGTTTTTTGGAATTCTTTGGAAATGTTTCTATTTCAAGATAAGAAAAATGTGCAGCAAATGAACTCGTGAAAGTACCATAAGCGCAAACAATTCTCATATCAGATAGACGAGAGAAAACTGGGGCTTACATATGGTCCTTCGCACTCATGAGGGGGTGATGCGAGATTTTCTGGGGTAAAACAATAGTTCACTGCAACATTCTAGGCTTTTTTGTGGAGACGGGAAGCCATGCAACCCCGAACTTTAGTCGTACACTGTTTGCAACGTTCATCATCTTGTAAAGGCTTCTTGAGGGAGAGCGATTTACAAAAAGCTTGTGTCATTAACATGAAATCGTTACATAGTTCAAATGGTTACGAAGAATCCAGTGTGACTACTTGGTTCACAATGACGTGTGTTATAGGTTTTCGAAGGTTTTGAGCAGTGGAAACGCTTCATTCATCTTCTCTGCTGCTGCCCGTCTGCTCTCGGTCCCCGATCCGACATGTTCATAGCGTTCATCAGGGTTAGTCTATCAACATCACACTTTGATGTTATTCATCAAACATGATTCCTTAATGTTTGATTATTTTAGGTTTTGTTTTTCGAGTTGAAAGAATGCCCTACTGATTTCTTCGTCGATATCGTATCACGAGACAATTTCCTTACAACCACACTGTCGATGTTATTCGCGAACATTCGTGGTTGGTTTTTGGACCTTGTTTTTCGTTTCCTTCTACCATACGTTGAGTTATGTTGTAATAAGGAGTGCATGGGCTGGAGTGATGCTGAAACTTTCGCAGACGGATGTCTTACCAGAAGTGTCCTTTTTGTTCGAGAAATCATTTGCAAACATGAAAAAATCCTGTTTTTGAATGTCTGGTGCATAGTCCATTCGTTATACTTACTTTTCCAGACTCCGATAGTGCACCAGCCGAACTAAAAAAGAAGTCCATGCAGTTCAAGACATACCTCACGAAGGAGTTCAAATGGGATTTTGAATGTGACTAGTAGAGAGTGTCAGTGCCTCTTTCCGGTGATTCTGTTTTGTTGTTTGTTTGTTCCTCCATGTAAACAGGTATTTTCACTTTATCAGACAGACAACAAGATAGCACAGTTGATCTCAGAATTTATTGGTTTTCAATAATAAAGAGTCATTATTGATAGAAAGATCCAGAGACGTACAAAGTGAATGAGTGAACACAAAGAGCTATTTTTGAGCTAAAGCCGTTTGGGTTTGAGGCACTTCAAGCGGCAGCGTAAGAAGGGATATAGACATCGGAATTTATAGTTGGAAACTGTCTCCTCAAGGGGAAAACTTGAAGAGGTGAGATAATGTTACAGTTTCCGGTGCTCAGGTTTCTGGGATTTTCTTTGTTGAAATGTAAAGATCTCGAATGCACTACCCCACGTTTGCAAGGAACTGCCTCTTCCATATGTACTTATTTTCTGTGAACAGCGAGTTTGGTACCTTGATGTTACGCAGAAGATGGGCCTAAGTCGTGAAAAATGAGCGCGGGAGCAGAAGGGGCGTGGCAAGGGGTGGAGGGTGGAGTTAATCAACTTTTTACCATGGTTGTGCTGGTTCTAATGTAATTCAGAATTCCGCTGTCTATATCATCCCAAATCATTGCCTTGAGTTCTACTGATCCTCACTGAACTACAAAATGACTTTGCTCAAATTCCCTTCCCGTGGGTTCATTTTCCCGTCACAGAGAAGTATCATTGAGAAGCAATTTTTGGAAGAAAATGGCACAAAATGATAGCAATAGCTTCACAAAACTTGTTGAACTGACTACCTGCACTAGTAAATGGATGCTAAGCCAAATTTGGTATCTTTCTGGACTATGCTTGATGCACTAGATTTATTTACTTTTTTGGTTTATGAAGGGATATGGCAATAGGTGACTATCCAAGCTTCGCTTAAACCTCCCTTTTTGGTGCTATTTGCTCGGTAATTTGCGGCGCGATGCTCTCCACCATCGTCGTTGGCAGCGATTCTGAAGGCGAATGTGACGAAGCGATATGAAGAATCAGCGCATGTTGTGAAGCCGACGCAAACGGGCACAGCGAACAGCGTATTCTTTGCGGGAACACTTCGGATGAGTGGGCGAACTGCTTGTGACGTTGGAGTAACGTGTCGGTTTTGCCCCTGAAATGATGCGAATACGAAGTAGGCACCATCCGCCGAAATTGAGTATTTTGAGGTTTTGATGCTATATAATAGCGGGACTCCTAGTCAGGTAACTGCCCAACTCCGCTGCAAATGGTGGATTCCAAAGCGAGAAGACCGCTTCAGAAAGTTAATGCTGCTGAGGTCGCCACGCCCACCAACGTGGGTGGTTTCAAGAGAAAGTGTTAAAAAGGGGCTCCAGGATAGACAAAATGTCGAAAGTCTGATAATCATCATAAAGGGAGGATTTATGACAGCTGTAGACACATCCGCGCATGATTTAGGACTTTCTGTCTTCAGACCACCCACGTCGATGAGCGGAGCCACCTGGGCCGTTTCTATCTTCGGGAGCGTTTTTCTCACTTCGGAATTTATCTTCTGCAGCGGAACTTCAGCGATAACGTCTACAGGGGTTCCGCTATACAGCATCAGAATCTCACCAATCTCTTGATAATTACTTCTTGGTTGCGTATGCGCCAGCCACTGAATTGTTTTTGATGGCGCAACTACTTGTTTCGACGAACGCCAGTCGCCGAGTCTGTGCAGAAAAACCAGAACGAAAACGAAGCGCAAATGTGGCAAAGAAGTCAACTACTATTACACTTTGCTTTACTATGCGCACACACGTAGCCCAAATATGTCCGGTAATGTTCGCAAAAGAACCAGATTTCAAGCAAAACACGCGAAAAACGGGGTCGTGATTCGGGGGTGATTGATCGCGGCGGCCGCGTCTCTCCTTTCCTCTTCCCCTGACTACTGTATCATCGACGACGGCGAATGCTAAACTATGTGTGTGCTCGAGCACTTTGTGGTGTCGCCATGGATTACGGTATCCGCCCGATCACGTCATTTGGGAAAGATTGTGCGTGTGGCTTTGTTTGAATGCTTGGTAACCTGAGCGGGGAACATAAACGTCTTGGGAAAAGACTTCAAAATAAAAGGGAAATGGATCTTGCAATTTTCAAAACTTCGCAAAAAGACATTTCATCGCTTTTCTTCCCTCCCGAAAAAGAAAATGTGTGGCCAACCTGTACATGCATTGATCACAGCCGAAACTTTCTTGTTCTGCTTTCATCTTCTTCTCTGGTACATGCCGTGAAATGTGCTTTTCCAACATTGCTGGACTTTTTGACACGTGGCGGCAGAATGGACATTTACGCGATCCTGAAAATTTGAAATTCTAATTTATCGCTAGATGGCGTTGTTTAACCATCTCTTTATCTAAAGTAGGAAATTTTTGAAACTGGTTTTGCATGCTCTAGTATACAAGTATTTTCATAATAAGAAAACCAATATATACTGCATTATTTTTTAACGAGCCTATTGAGGTTTGCGAAGGTAATTTGTGATAAATAATGGATTCAAAACACTGTTAGACGTCGGATCAGTAAAATGTATAGCCTATCTCAATCGCGCACTCCCTATTCTACCGGCAGACCGCTCTCGCGCCACGTTCGCGCACGTAAGCCTGGTCCGCGCGCAAGGCTCTCGCGTTGCGGATTCATGATTCCTACGAAAAAGAGAATAATTGATGGAGACTGTAGGAGAGCATGCAAAGAAAAAAAATGTGGCCTTCCGTGCAAGGACCCGAAAGTTTGCAAAAAGGTAGCAAATCTGCTTTTTTGTCATCTGGTTTTTCCACTGACATTTTTTTCGCAGAGGCTTTAAGCAAATTTTGTTAATTTTGTGATATTTCTCACAGCTCATTCGCAGAATTGCTAGTACAACAATTCTTAATTCGGTACGCCTTGAGCTGTAGGCCCTATCAGTCAATAACTTTCAAAGCTATAATTCTCTTATTTTTTACAGGAAGGCGCGCAACGATATTTGAAGAATTCATGTATGTTGAATCGAAGACTACCAAAATTTGAAAGAGCATTGTTTCTGCTTGCTGTGATAGAATATATTACAATGCTGAAAGTGAATGAATGTACGCGGGGTCTCAAATTTATTGTGACGTGATGGAAATTTTTCTCCCACAGGGGGAAATGTTCTTGAAAGGGTTTTGGAAGTCTCTTTAATGGTAATCCGGGAACAGCACTTGACTCACCCAGGTCAATACTGTCCGGGAGTGGTATATGATGCCTGTAGTACTTATGAAAGTGTATATATCGTGCTTCTCGTGTTGAAAATTGGCATCCGGACTCGTCACATCTGGAAAAGTTTTTTTGAGGGAGGTATCAGCTGGTGAATGCTTTTTTTACCTGATCGGGGGATTTCGATGGTATATGGTGACATGATAAGACACTGAATTATATCTACCGTACACTTTGCGACATACGGTACACATAAATCCGTTGTCCACCTTTTCGATGTATTTTTTATTGCGGCACCAGCCTGAAAGTACAAAAATTGCAATGTATGGGCGATTATAGGTCTCTTGACGACTCATAAGAATGTTTAGACATATCCGATACTTGGATTTTTTACTTGGGTAACTGGAAGGCATCGAGTATGCCATTTTCCATCGGCTGCAAATTTCATGAGTTCCCGCCCATTACCGTAGCTCGACGAGCCCGATTGGCTTGCTCGAAAGCGTACGGTCTGGGCGAGAGTTCAGAGCTAGATTTTTTGGCCATAAAAGAGTTATATGAGCTGTTAATTGTACAATAGCCCAACTAAGGTCTCCCATTCAGCTTCCATATGAGAAACCTACAATTGGACACTGCTTAAACCCCCCCCCCCTTGAACTCTCATCTCTGGAGAAAATGCTGCCAAGCGCGGTCTTCTTTTCGAGCTTGTCTCGGCAGCGTTCCGACCTCTGACATTTCGCTAACGCTTCGGATCAGTCAAAGAAGAAAAGAAACAAAGATGAGTAAGCCCTACGCGACGAAAAGGAAAAGGGAAGACGAGGGGGGGGGGGTTACGGTGCGACATGCTGAGCTTTGTAGGGAACAAAAAACACAGAGCAAACCTTCTTTGTCGTCATTCGGCACGATCTTTTCGTTGTAAGCAGTAGGCGTGGTTCGTGGTGATGATGACTCGTTTGCCGACGCTCTAAATGATTCTGATTCCGCTTTTTTTGTCAAGCGAAGGAAAGGCGGCAAAGATCCGATCTCCTCCTTTCCCTCCACAAGAAGAAGACAGCGTGAGATGATTTAATATACCTGTTGTCATCTGCTGGAGGAGTTGACGGTTGAAGCGACGCCGTCTGACAAGGCAACAGTGATCCGCCAAATGATGCCAGTAGGCCGGGTTGCATATACAGAGCCAGAAGAGTGTGGAAATATGTTTGCCCTGGAAGGTGTACTCCCGCTTTTTATGAATATAAGTATATGCGCGCTATTTTTCGCAGCAGCCATCTTAACATCATTTGTTAGTTATTTTATTAACTGCCTCCTTCTCCAATAAATTTCTCAGTTACGTTATTAGCCGCTTCCCTCTCCCGTATTTATTGCTAACAATTTTGTGAGATTCTGGCAAAAAAATCGTTTTAGATGAAACGATTCCATGAGTGTTTTGGGAAGCCTGAATAACTAGACTGCCCAACACATCGTCTTGCACGGTAAACCAAAAACTACGTTTCTGGATTGCACGTTTCCTTTAATTTTAGAAAACCTTATGTAAAATAGTAGAAAATTAATCTCTTTAAATCCCACAGTATTCATTCAGGCTAAGCGTTTTGGAAATTGCTGTGATGCTCCTTGTTTTGTGAGTATGGGAAAGAGGAAGTTATCTTTTCCATGGCTGTGGTGAATCGCCACGGCAGCGTTGCGGTAGGTGTACTGTATGCGGCTTCTACGGTACATCCATACTCGCAAACGGCTCAACAATTTCTACAATGGCGTTACCACGGCACACTTGCTGAAAGACCCCTAGGATTACGGATAAATAATTTAGGCCTTCTCTATTCACTAAAGGTACACACTCATAAACTTATAGTTTTTTTTGCTTTTCTGATCATCGCTGATAAGCCATTGTTATCGTTGAGGGGATGCTTCGTTTTACTACATCTGGTATTGTAAGCTGGAATTAATGTTTTTCAGAAGTGAGCGTCATAATTCAATGGCTGCATATATAGCAGGAGCCCAAGACTGCTAGGGGCGAAGTTTGCCACTGTTTCATTTTCTGTCGCTTTCTAACTAAAAAATATGACAGTAAGTGTCTGCTAGGTGTTGCATGTGTTTATTACGTGGGGAACTAAGCGATTAGCCGGAATTATGAGTCAAGATAGATTGAATTGTAGCTTTATGGACTGTCCTTGGATTCTGGCTTTGAACTTCTCGATCTCGGATTTTTGGCGGTCCTTGTTTGCTTAGCCCAATCTACATGCCTTTCTAGTGTTGAAACTTTCGCTGTAATCTGAGAAACGCATTATTTTTTTCCAGCCTAATGTACTAGGCTCTACACGTATGGTTTATCTCTTAAAATGATTGCCTACGTATAAGCTTATGAAGAAAGGTTGTTTATTGTATCCGGATTAATTTAAGGTCATCACGGACATGAGGAGGTGGAGAATAAAGGAAGCAGTTTCAAAGAAGGTAAAGTGTTTTTTTCTATTCCGTAACTTCACCAAGATTGCCACCATATCCATTACCACATCCGATGTAATCCATTTTTATAGTTTATTCGAAGTAAAACTGCACTTCTATGAAAACTTTTTTTCAAACTCAGCTTAAGTCTATCTATCCTCCTAAATGTTGACATTTACAAAGATCATTTTCCATTTATTATTCTATTAGGTACTACCGCGTCCGTTTATGGAAAAAGTGACCTACAAGCTGGGTTGAGTGCCATGGCCGGGAACTTGTTTGGTAGAAGTGCTGCAAAAGGAGCAGGTTCCTGGCTGCTTGCCAAGAGTTTACTTTCGATTGTTGGCACTTCACAATGCCTTGCTACAGCAAGAATCTGAAAAAAAAATAGAAAATTAACGAGGAAAGCTCAGGAAATTTCCCCTGCTTACCTCAGACTGATCTGCTAAGCTGAAGTTCAATTCTCCCGTATACAGACCACTAAGCATAGCTTTGAATGCATTGATAGAGTTTGGTATTTCTCGCAAATCGATATCTATCTTTGCTATAGGGGACTCGTGGTGTTGTTGTTCAGCAGCGAGCAGATTCCGAAACCGTGCCGATGCCGATGAGAGAACTAGCTGATGTGCCAGCACTGGCTCGTCTGGAATGATATTTTTTGAGGGAAGAAGGAAAAAGTTCAGGACTTACCAATATCATTTCCTTCTTTGCTACTGCGTACATTGATACAGGCATCAAAATCAAAATTAAACCCAAAATTTCCTAAGAAATTATCTGTTTGGATTGACATCTGGAAAAAACAAGAATATTCTTGATTACTATCTGCACAATTACACTGCGTTTGAGAAATTTACATAAACATTCGGGGCAAACAAACTCAGATAAGAGAAAGTTCATTTTTTGTTCTTCATGAAATCGTCAGAATTCACTTAAAAGCTTGCCACCTCAACAATTTCCTAACGAGTCAACCACATCCGTATTTATCTACTCGCTACTCGCGCACTGCTTTTTCGCAGGTTTGGAAGTAATCGGGCATTGAGGAGGTACATAAGAATCTCTTTAAAATGTTGAGCAAAGTAATAAAAAAATGAACAAATTCTAAATTAGACTCGCTGCATTTTTGTTTCCAAAATCCATGCATTTCCATTGAATTATTCCTAATTTTTTGAAATATTCGAAACCAAAGCAAAATCTCGTTATGCTTGCGACCACATAATCACTGATTTGGAGTTTTTTTTTTGTTTGTATTTCCAAAAAATTATTATAATGAAATTTGACTTTGCCTCCCTACCTCAAAATTTATCTGGTGGACTTCTAGCATAGCAAGAAAGATTTCTACCCTGTTTAGGAATTAGTTAGGCAGTTTGGTAGTAGAAATCTTGGAAATCTGCTTTTGCATTGTTTTCTGTTTTAAGAAAAGAATTTTATTCACAGCAGAAAATTCGTGAGATGAGAGGAATTGGAGAAGACTCCACCGCTATAATCGTTCAGCAGCACACCGTGTCTATCACCTCGTTTTCGGTTTGGATTCGCGGAAGTTCAGAAATGGTAAAAAGCGAACGGATAAATTTAATGAACATCGAGAGCGAGTTGATCGCATCGTCGGGTGTCATTCACTTCGAGAAGACGTTTTCTGAACTGTTTTTCAAGCGACGAGAATTATCAGAGACAACAGATAATACACATCTGGCGATCACCCATACCGGAGCGGGGAGAAATCTACACAGAATCGGTGGCGATCCGAGGAAAAACGCCATCTGCAAGAAATATGGAGCGAAGTTTCGCCGATTCACACAGCTTCAGCGATTTTCTGGATATTCGGATGGGTTTGAGAAAAAGCCGGGGCGAAAAGACGATGAACTGATTCGTTTTTCATGGAGCAAGTGCTAATTTATCATCGGGTTTGTGATGATGACATTATCAGCATTATTAGGAAATCACCTAAATATCAGAATTAATCTACTGCTTACGCCATTCATGTACTAAGTGCTGTTTTCTCAGAAGATGAAGTTTTTGAGATGGCAGTTTTTGCCTTTGCAGGACGAAAGCATCACAAGGACAACAAATAGTGAACTAAAAAAGACTCGCGCATCTACCGTATCCTTCTTAGAATAATTTTTTCTAGTGTGGCAAAAATAGGCAATCTGGCTGTTTTTTATAAGTTGAAGATTGTCAGAAAACTAGTAAACTCAGCACTTTTACATCTTAATGAATACTCAGAATTTTGTAAAAGTCCCTACTGCTTTTGAGGTTTTTCTTTCCATCAGACCTTTCAGCGAATTTCCAAAAACTAATCCATGAATTGTCGGGAAATTTATAGTTCACAACAAACAAATGCAGAACGTCATTTCAGCAATTTGTAGCATAGGTGAAACTCTAGCATACTTCATTCAAGACTTACAATTTTTAATGTCTGCAAACTAAAAAGGTCGAGAATTGCTGCAAATTTGTTTAGCTGATAGTAGGCATTTTCAGTGCATATTATCATATACTGGCTCCTTTCTAGTTTAGCACGCATCTTCATTCAAATTTATAAATGTTCAATATGACGAAAAGTGATAGAAGTCGGTAGAAAAAGACCAAATTCATAAATTGTTGTCTAACCGGAAATCTGACCTGGCAAGATTAAGCCCTTAAAAATTCGCTGGCTCTACTTTTTATTTTCACTTCCTGAAATACGGTAAGCTCGTAGTTTTGTCGAATAAAAGACTGTTTTAGCTATGATTTGAGTATATAAATGAGTTTCTTTGATAACCTTATAGAAGAGCTTTTTACGTAATTTTCTGCTTCGAAAAGGTCAACCTGAACTATTAGCATTCCGGTCAAACAAGTAATTTAGCATCCCTTTTTGGGTGGTCTTATGTGGAATAAAGTTTGGCAAATGTGCTCTGTCTCATTATTTCTTTAATTAGAAACATTCTTGTTAGTAGACGAAGGTCAAGTTTGAAGCACATTTTTTTCGCTGGAGGGTAAAAAATGAGGACTGAAGGAAAAGTTGTATGTAATCTGAGCACATCATTGGCTATCTTATTTTTTGTCAAACTCCACGATATTTTATATTTTTTCCTGGTCATATTTTGCTAACCACATTAATCGATGTTTTTTGTCATATTCGATAATAATCAAAAGTTTGGAGGCTTTCGCTGAACATGCTATGCCAAAAGCTTAGAAAGAGACCTTTCTGCGTAAGAAGCTCGAAACGCCGAGACCGGAGCGTGCTATATGAGAAATGTTGCCAGTAGGTTGGTATGCAGCGCTAACCTAACATATTTGGGGGGTAAATCAAGAGAACAGGTTACGGTGACGAAGAACGACGACGATGACGAGAAACATCTCGACGACGACGCTGGCGCAGGACTAGCAACGACCTGCTAGAGCGGCAGCAGCGGAAAACAATTGAAACGACGAAAAACAAGCACCTGAGGAGGGAGGGGGGGGGAGGACAGACGGGGCGGCGTCAAGCACTTTTCTCATATAGGTATAGGTAAGACAGGTTAGGGCAGTGGGGGGAGGGCACAATCTCCTAAAAACTTCTGTAAACGGCTGATTGTGGTAGAGCTATCGCAAAACAGCTAAACTATGGAGAATATGCTTAAATTTTCCATAAAAGTGCCCTAATGGAAATGTGTTCTCCACGACACCTACCGTAATCCGGCGTTCGTTTTCTCGCAAGCATGATTCCCCTACATGCGGCCTAATGGAACAGAGTTTATGCATAATTCATAAACAGCGAAATGCTGGGAGCAGCTGGAGGATGGGGAAGAACGTTTACAGTATGGAGAATCTGGACATAGTTTGTCGCTTGGGAAGGTTGGGACCAGGAGGATGGGATAAGGGGAGGGGAGGAAAACTTCCACGATGTTATCCGTTGCTAAGTGGGCATGACTTGGGAGGAACTTACTACAAAATTCCAGGAGTTTGAGACATTTGTTTTTTCATCTACTTTTAGCAGGTAAATTGTTATTCTGGAAGGAGAGAAAACAATTTATTTACGATGGTAGGATCAGAATGGAAAAGAAAACAAAAGATTAGATACAGCACGTGACGCACGTGATCCGCTTGATCTACTACATCCACTTCGCTATTGGTCTGTCGAATCAGTGAACTGACCAATAGCGAAGTCAAGTGGGCATCCGCTTCGCTATTGGTCGGCTCACTGATCACTCTCTTCGCTATTGGACAATTCACTTCGCTATTGGTCAAACTGATGAAATGACCAATAGCGAAGTGGATGAAGTGAACCAAGTGTGGCACGTGACTATTGTACAAGAACGTGATGGATGAATGGACGAGTGAAGGAGTGAAGAAAGGAATGAATAAACGAATTCGAGTAAATGGACAAGAATTGAAACTTTGCGTTCTTGAACCATCCATTTGTGCCCGAATGCGTGTGTGATGTTACCTTTGCTCCGGTCATCCCCTACCATGGCCTTTTGTGTCAGGAGCAGAAAACGGGATGAGTCAGTTCCACACACACACACATAGAGGGACACAACCCTGCGCTTACAATCATCCACAATGACATTCTCTTCGAATCTCTAGAGCCTTCGGGATTTCCCTACGTCAACGGATGGGCGTAAAAATTGACATTTTGCTCATCTTCGGGAAAAACGACAAAGTGAGTCTCACCTTATCGGACTGAGTCAAACCTTTTCAAAGCACTGTAAAGATTTATGCTAAATCGTTACATATTATGTAAATTTGCGAAAAACCAAGCTTTTTGCAAAGCTACGAAATGTTATGCTCTTTCTGATATACCATAAGTGCTCTGGACATAATATGATGTATAATGATGCACTTCGGGATGGAGGTATGGAAAAAGCAATCGATTTCGATGTAAATCACAAAACACTAAGAATAAAATGACATGAAATTTTGTATTTGCCCATAAAGTGCACAAATTGAGAAAGTCGGGAATTCTACTTGTATCCTTTTGAGGGAAGTTGTACTTCCCAACGGTTTAGTGCGGATAAAAACGTCGCGACGGAAAAATCTGTCACAATTCTTTTTTTTCCTCCGTTGTTAGGCGTTGTATCTGGGAATACCCTAAGAAAAATATTTTTAAAATAGCGTAATACAGTATAATATAATAACACAACATAATATTCTCTTTGCGTCTGCCAAAATCATTTTTGAAATCACTACCTTTGACATATCACCATATTGCAAAAATTCTTTTGTAGGGCTTCCTGCATGAGTAAAATATGGATGAAACTAGAATTAAGATGATGGTTCTGAAAAACAAAAAGGTTTTCATCACGTTAGGAGGGCAAGAAAGCTGTGAAAAGGCACTTCATCTGTCAAAGTGAAGCATAAAAATCATTTGGAAAATTCTTTACCTCTGATGTAAATTTTTTTTAAATTTCGCAAACTCGTCGAACTCCGAGCACAGTAAACTGCTAGTTCTAGTGTTCAGAGCTTTTTTAAAAGCGTTCTGCTGTAACTTGTCATCAAAAAATTTCTTTGCCTCTTCAAATTCATTTCTGGATAACCACATGATATTGATGACGTTGATATAAAAGAATTAGTGATATTTTAGCTTGTCATTATTCCAACATGTCAACAGTATTTTTTTACCTAACATATGACCTGGCACGAAAATATTGACCATTAATAAGCACTTCTTAGATTGTGTTACGTATCTGAAAAGCTTTAAACGTCATTGTTTTAAGCAAAACAGAAATGATAATTTCTTTTTCTGCAAGGAAACTGTTTTCTCCTGCATTACTCGACATTTGCAAGTGTTTTGCAAAACTCTTGTTGGTCAGCCAAACTCGCAACATTCTCGGCGTCCGAATAGTTTGGGAACTGGTTCATAGATTAGATGAACTCGTTTTGTTGTGCAATTTACAATGGAGCGGAGGTTACTTAGCAATCACTAGGTTACATCGCACCTTATAGCATCAACATGGAAACTGGGGCATAGTTGTAAGCAGTGAAAATTTTACAACGGGGGAAAAGTGTAAAGTTTTGTTTGGGGAATAATTTGGGACATTCTTCGACTTCTTGGTGGAAAGGGGCGAATAAGGGACCAAAAATTATGAAAAAAATATTTTTTAAACAGAAACGCTGATAGACTATGGCGCTTACGGTAACAAGCACAAGGACTCTTTTTCTACCTGGGAACCCCCTTTGCCCCTGGACTTTTCCCGCGGTTGTGAAGAGAAACACACATGAACACATCAGAATCCTTTATTTCTGAATCTTCACAGAAAAGACAAGCTTAAAGTGAATATTTATAGAACAAAATCTCATGAACAAAAAAGATGATTTGTTGGCATCTGTCCAACCTGGAGCAGTAGTTTACTTTAAGTATCTGTAGATCACAATTATTTGATGACAGCGGTCAGAAGAAGATTCTCGAAGGCAGGGAGGCGGGATGATGATGCCAGACCGGTAGTACTGTAAAGTCGAAGATGTCGTGACAAGGTCGTGACGCTATTCACAAGCGAGTTTCCCGTGAAAACTCGTCATGGCGATTCCAAAGGCCTGCAAAGCGCTCAGTGGATAGCGAAAATCCATGGAAAAGCATTCGTCTGAGATTCGACCAAACTGCATAACGATGTAGTCAGCTGCAAGAAAAATAATTTCTTGAAAAACTGGCGAAAAATCTGAAAAAATCAACTAACGGTCATGATCGTGTATAATTTGGAAATTCTTCACTGATGCTTGTGTTACACGTCCATGAAAATTTAAGACGTACGATTGTGAATCTGAAATATTTTAGCATGTTTTCTCAAAATCATAAAAAGATTCAGCTATAACATTCTACGGGCAAATTATCGCACGCAGGAACAGGTTGCCACTGCGGATTTCTGCGTCTCTCATATCAAACGCACTTTCATTCCTCTAATCGTCTGCTGTCTCTCTCGACACGTACTATCTCTTAGTGTGACGCAGCGGCATCCAGTCTTAGCATGCGGTGAAGCGTCTGCACATGATGCTTTCTTATTTTTATACAATCATATTTGGTGTTTATGCAAAAAATTTTGGGCTTTGACATTTCATGATTTATCTTCACAAAAATTCAAAAACAAGATTAAGCTCAATAGTTGAAAAAAGTTTTTGTACTTGAATCAAATGTTCTAGAATTTGGAAGTCTAAAATTTGGTTGACTCGATTTGAGAATACGATAATTTGCATTTACATTTCCTTCTTTTTCTTCTCATGCAAATCATGTAATTTTACTCAAAATTATCAGAATTTTCTAATATTTTAGTGAGTTACCAACTAATAACGATTACCGCTTGCTTACCTTCATTCCACACAGGACTTTTATTTTGCATCACAATGATATCGTCTGTTCGACGTTGGCGGTACCTTTCTAACAGAGTATCCTTCGCCTAAATCACAATTTATTTTTTGAATTTTATCTTTAAACGTCTTTTGCCAGTAATGGACCTACCGCTACAGGTCGAATTGACTTGCGTTCGTATGTATTGATATCATAAATCCCAGGGATGAGGATATGCATTCTTCGTGGACCTTTGAAGCCGAGCACATTTGTGTCCTGTAAAAAGTCTCTACGCTGCATATTGAAAGCGTTACAGCCGTTGGTAACTTTTCAATAATGGCGCAATCCTGCTCTGATCACAAAGCGCGCCCCTAGGCGAATCAACGCGCGAATACACGTTTTGATCGGTTTTCTGTGCTCATCTATGCTGCTTGTCTTTCATTTTCTATCTTATCAGTCTACAATGGTTTATTCTGCTCGTTTTTCTTTAGTATTCACTACAAAAAATAGGGGATTTTATAAAGTCAGAAAGATATTTGTGAGGATTTTGCGTATTTAATAGGATCTCGTCTTCCCTTTGAGTCATCGAGATTGGCGGCTGGAAGGCGAGGCTTCGAGCCCTAATTGAGGCTAGGCGATTACAAAGCGCCTCGCGAGAGACGCAGACTGCGTGCGAGTGCGAGCGGTCGCTTTCCACCCGCCAATCTCGATGAATCAAAGAGCAACTCCATGTTTTCAGCTCGTGCCGAGCCCCAAGGCTACATTTCAAGAAAAAAAATGTTTTGTCAAAGTGGAAGAAGTAGATTCTGTCAAATAACTCACATATATGACAGCTGCAAGTTCCTGTCGAACATCGCTAGTATTATTAGATTTTTTCGGGTTCGCGCCACAGTCATAGAGGGTAAACATGGTCCCTATGGCATTTGATCTGGAAAGATTTTTTTGTAAGATGTGATAACACTTCTGATTTGCCCTATAAACTAAACGCTCACCTGACTTTTCCTACAAAAGCGCTTCCTTCCCGTTTTAGATCCGTTGCATCTGTAGAAATAAGATAATTGGCCGTAGTGCTTTTCTTTCGTCTCCTGGCAGCCAGTAAAAAGATCTGCAATGGAATTTATAGAATTTCCTCAATTCTTTCTTGGCTAACAATTACCTTCTTTTTATCCTCTCTTTCAAGATGTAAATAATAGGTTGGATATATTCCTTTGTCCACTCCTCTTTTATCTCGCGTTATCGAGCATTTATAAATGACATTTCGCTTGGCTGGTGCTTGTACAAACCTCAAATGGGAAAAAATTGTAGAGCACCCATTAATCTAATATTTTAATACTTACTTCTCTATATTGGCAGCAATTTCGTCGTATGCGGGCAGTTCTTCAGCTGGTAGAGTATGTTCTTCAACATCGCTCTTATCCTCATTGTTTTTCCAAGTGTCAGATGCTGGACCTAAATGTAGCTTCATAAAAAATGTATATTCGAAAGACCTTATAGTTACTTTGCAAGAAATTGGATACAGTTGCATGCTCTGAAAATTTCTTTCAAAGTTGACGAATTATTTGTGAAATTTTTCTATGAACTGATGTCATATGGCTTATAGAAGAGAAATTTAACTATAAACTAAATCGCATAAGTTTTTCTTACAAGCTATTGCCATAGGTACGGTGAACCTTTTATGAGAGAATTACAAAGAAAATGAAGCCATTTGCGAGTTGAAGAGACTCGTGACAAAATGGTTGTGGCCACAACGAAGGCGAGAAAGTGATAGAAAAAATGTATAACCAGTCAATTACAAAACCACCAAATATTGTATGAAAAAATGACGCTAAATATCACTCACCCACAAGCTCCTCTTCATCACTAGGTACACATGGTGACAATTCGGCCCTCTCCATCTTTTCCGCCAATGTGCTTACCGGAGAAGCATCATCTTCTCTGAGAAAAAATACAAAATGTGGCAAAATACTCTTGAATGGAAAAGTGCACAAATTTCCTCAAAAATCACTTAGAGTCGGCAAACAATAGAAAGAGATGATTCTCTTTACATACTGTATTCTTTTAAAAGCAAAAACCAGAATATCTAGAGCCATTTGAGATCCTACATATCTATGTACTTATTCCAACAAATCACGTTAGTCGACATAGAAAATTGAAATTCAAGCTACTTGTGAGCGCAGCTGGAGCTTTGCGTCGCCCTTCAGAACTCGGAGAAACTGGGTCTTTTTTTTCTAAACGTAAGAAACGTGAAATGCGTTGTTATCTATGAAGTTCAGATCTGAGTTCTGGAAATCATAAAGCGGTAAAATAAAATGGGATTTCAACTGATTTTTTCTGAAAATTGACTTTTTTCCTGGCCTGTGAATGCGAAAATCCCATTACCTGCCAAATTCCTTGTTGGTGCTTACGGGTCTGGAAAGGTTTGTGGGAGTATCAAATCCTCGGATTGTGACTAGTGTTGGTCCGGTAGCATCGGGATCTGCACAAGCTGACAGTGGACCATCGTAGCAGGGTGGAGAGGCGAACCCGAACCTGAAGTATTGCGTACATTAAGCTTACAGTAGTCCTTTTGTGTCCACAAGGTTGAGTGAAGCTTTTTAATTGATTACGATCAGGAAGATCACTTTGTTCAATAAATTGTCTCGTGATCGCACAGCATGCAGTAAGTTCGATGAATTTCAAATTTTGTAACGACAAATACGATATAAAATCGATTTCCATGGGCGTTTCTGAATGTGAACGATTTGCTTTTGCAAATTGAACTTCTATTGGTAATAGCATAGATCTCGAAAAATAGCTTCACTTTTCGAGGTTTTCGAAACTGCAACGTTCCAAAATAATCCTGAGAGCTACCCCGAAATTTGAGTTATCAATATTTTTGGATCTTCCTCAAAACTGTTGAAATTTGCTCTCACCCGCAAGATGGATCCATTGAATTGAATCCTGTGGTAGGCACTTGGTTGTACCTTATCGTAGCGGAAGCAGTACGTTTTTGCCGCTGTTTTTCTTCCAAAATCTTTCGCTGAAATGAAGTTTTGAGAAATATAGAGTCATATATGTCTAACAGCTCTTACCTGACGATGTAAATTCTGCGCGACCCAATCGGCATTGCCATCGGTCATGTTTCTAAATATAAGTATTGAGTCATTCACATCTTGATGTGTGAGTCTGCACATCATGCGCGGCAAGTGACGACACCTTTACTAAGTAGTAAAAAACAAGATAATTTTTCCTCGGACAAAGAAATGCTCTTCACTAGATAATGCGTATCCATAAAGTTTAGAAAATGAGGAAGCGAGAAGAAATCACTGGAGACCAGGTTTTTTATCTTACAAGACGTCAGGTAGCGCGCATGGTGTGCAATACGCGCACTAAGTTAGAAATGACGCGACAATACATTTATTACATTTGCATCTTGGGCGGGTGTCAGAATGATTGTGCAGCGTTTCCTTAGCAACGGCTGGGAAATTAATTGTGAGACATGGATAAAAAAAGTATATTTAGTTTTAATTTGTTTCTACAAAGTTGTGAGAAACTCGACGGAGAAAATATAGTTGATAGCCTTTGTTCAAAATAAAAAGGGCGATATGAATGAATACAATTCCGGATGTGTACGAGTACTATGCAATTCATAGACATATAGTGCAGATCGGTTGCCAAGCGACCTGCCAGGCCTTTAAAAAAGTTTGAAAACCTTTAAGTAATTGCGAAACCTTGATTCACTACGTGTTGGACGATAACTGGTAACAGAATGGTGAAAATCACGAAAAACTTTAGAAGGGGCTGAAATCAGTTGCAGGAACAGGACAAGCGGATAAACAGCCGATTCAGCTTGTGCTTCTAGCTTAGAGAGGATTAGATACTCCTTTAGGTGATTAAACGGATTTTTGCTGACTTGGCTGCATTCTAAACAATTTTTTGGAATGCGTATTTGATTCAACATCCTTGAAATTTCCTCAATATTGTTGATTTTCTTAGAAAAGTTTTGCACAAGGATTGCATCTGTAATGCGTCATTACTCAATTTAATTTCTTTGTTTCAACGTTTTTGACAGGTAAGAGAGTTTTGTTGTGAAAAAAACAAAACTGAGGAGGGGAGCACACCTGAGGTAGTTTAATCCCTCAGATCACAGTAACTTTCAAAAATGCGAATGCAAAATACGATTTATTTATGATACGGTAATGATGCTTCAAAATCTACACTCGCAAATGTAGTGATTTGTATGATTACGGTAACGTACACATGGTATCTTCTCTTTTTGCGGCGCTTCTCGTTAAATTGATTTCCTCCTTTACGGATTTCCTACTTCACGGATATCCAAATCTTTCTTCTACCGTTTTGTAACATAAATTACGTGAAAATTCTTGCATGTCCTTTCAACAGGTCCTAAGAGAAAAGTCAGATTCGGATTTCAGGAAGAAGTTAGTTGCAGTAAATACTGAGCCTGAAGAAAACAAACCTCCTTTAGCGAAACCTTGGAGGAAGCCCCAGCTTTCTATTGTTGTCAATAATATATGCAAACGCCTTCTGATCGTAAGCTAATCTTGAATGAGAAATGACTGAGCTATGTTGATAATAGTTTCAGAGCTCTTATGGAGATTTGGTGTACGATTAGTTTTGACTCTATTAAAAAATGGGATGGAGGAGCAAGTGAATCTCATTGGTCACACGAAACCAAGTATTATTCAACTCATACAGTTGTAGATCATATTTAGTATCATAGAAGTCATTCTCTGTATGAAATGTAAAGTGAGCATGGTTTTGTGTACTTTCAAAGAAGCATTAACTTAAATTATAGAATTAGACGACATGATATGAAAAAAAGGTCAGATTTTTGTATAGTCATAACGATGTTCTTTCGAAAAATAGCCTTATAATATTCTTGTGTGAAATAAATTGCGTCGTCAAGCATAAGGATGCAAATCGAATTTTTCGCAAAGTGAAGCTTTCTTTCTGAGGCTTTTTCTTGAGTATATAACTGACCGTATGAGCAGGGAAAAACTAGCACAAATTTAGAATGGACCAAGAGAATAGTAAGAAGAGCAGCTAACCTGACGCCTAGCAATTCCGAATCAAATGCTTCGAGTGTGGCTCGAGCATTCTCGACGTTACCATAGTGACCACGAGTAGCTGGGTACGCTCGCTTCTTCGACGTCGTCACCTTTCGCATTGGTGCATCTCATCTGACGTTCCAGCCATTTAAACTGGACTTATTCTTGGTTTTCTAGGCCCAAAAATTCCCCCCGAAATGGCCAGCAAGTATCCGCTTTTGTTGGGTGTGCAAATTCTGATGCTCGTCACCGACATCGCCTTCAATGCAGCTGCAGTGCTATTGTTTGGAAACAGTATTGTACTGCTTATGATGTACATGTGAGCTTAAGTTTTATTCTTTCAAAAAAAGCCAAAATCGCTCAGCTCATTACTAAAAGTCAAGTGCGCACAAAAAAGTAGCACTAGAAATTAGTGTGGTTTTTTTTTGATTGCAAGATAAATAATTTTTGTTGAATCTTATCAGCTTTCGTTAACGATTCGTCATAATAATTGCGTCTGAAAATTGGAGATTATTTCGTAAATTCTTGAAAAAAATCGATAAGAATTTCAATCACTTGTCTTCGTACGTTGCTGACAGTCTAACACAGTTTCTGTTGACCCCACCCCTCCAGCTACGCCCCTTTTTGGCTTGTCGTTTATTTTTTCTTTCAAACATTGCCATTATTTCCGAGATGAATTCCCAGTCCTGACATAAATATTTTTCCTCTCATACCAAAAGAATTTTTACTTTCAGACTTCAAAATACTCTAATACTGGTGTCGATAATTGTTTTGGTAATCGCATTCTCGTCCACATTTGTATTCCAAGCTGGATTAATATTCCTACTCGTTCGACGATTCTCTTATGCGCTGGTTGCAGCTTTGGTCTATCTCGTTGTTTCTATTGCTTTACACTACACTTCGTTGGTGAGTAATATTCTTGCAACGTTTTGTGCAACTGCACATTGCACGCCAATACAAGGGAGAGCAGACGACAGTGCAGCAACCGCGCTTACAATACACCGATTTTTTTGGGCATCAAAATTGTTGGAAAAAATACTTTTGAATGCAATTGCTTTAGAATGTTCGATGGGAAAGCCCGACATCGCCAATATCCTTGGACCCTTATATTCTGATTCTATACATAGCTCATAAATTTTGTAAGTTCAGCTTTCTTGGTTAAACCTACAAAACTAACTTCTCTTATTTTAGTGGCAGTTTTGTACTATTCAACGTACAAACGCGCAGCTCTACTCTTGTCTGATCCGAAATACCACGGTGATTCGGAATGGCTGAGAACGAAGATACGAGAAAGCACATGAAAACAATCATGTGATGCATGTGCCAGGTTTTGTACTGCCATCATGAGCCTCCAGCTGTAACATTGCAAAGTTTGTTGCCAACCAGAAACGGGTAGTTTCTAGCTGATCAGGCAAATAAAAGTTTGAGCTCAATTAGTTTTCCTTGAAATTTTCCTCTTTACAAAGTGCAAAATTGGTTGAATTGAAGTTTGAGACGATTTTAACGTTTGCTCTATCTCTCAGAGTTACCAAAATAACAAAATGAAGAAGCAGTGATGCATAGAATGTTCCAACTAGAGTACACACCAATTCGGCAACATCTCGACGAAAAAGTCTGACTAATTGTGGGATTTCTCGTCCATAAGTTGGAAAATTAATTGTTGTGCCAATGACCGGCCGCAACGGTCTCTCTCGAGCAATCAACAATGGGTTCTCAAACTTTTTACGGACCGCTTGCTGACTGATGAGGCAGAGAGTTTGATTTATGTGGTGATGCCAACTTCTTTACTATCTGAAAGTATGTCTGCAAAAAAACTTAAACTGATAATACTTTATACCACAATGTGTCATAAAAAATCTGTCATGAGCTGTAAGAAGAGGGAAATACACGGCAGAGCACCTTGAATGCAGATACATCGGCTCCCAATACAGGGAGCGCACACATAGAATCCCTATCCTATGAAGGGCAAGAACTGAAAGCAACAAGAGCGAGTCATCTAGCAGTAGGGTGTGACCACGGATGTAGTTTGAACCAGGCCAATTTTAGTCAGAATCTTCCTCATCGCTGCTATGAATACTGGGACGTCTGCTCGTCGCTGCAGAGGGTACCTGGAATTGATCGTGTTCGAAAAAAAAACTCAAAAAGATGCTATGACTGATATTGCATTATAATCGACATCAGCGACTGTTTCACTTGTACTAAACTTGTACTAAACTCCTGAAGAGCACCGTCTACCCAAACAATAGTTGGTGAATTTTGACGCACTACAATAGCAAGGCTCTTAACTAAGTAACTGCCCAAGTCCCGCTGCAAAAGATGTATTCCGAAACGAGAAAATCGCCAAAAAAGATGGAGATTGCTGAGGTCGCCACGCCCATCAACATGGGTTGTCTGAATTTGATGAGCGCGAAAATTGAATATAGATTACCTAGATGTCGCAGGGAAAGGAGATTTTACATTTTCGGGTACTAGTAGGTCAAGTCCGTGCAACCGATGTATTTTTGCCCCTGCTCAGCCCTTCCATAGCTTAGCCAATCACAGCCGATGTTGACCAATCAGAGGCGATGCTAATACTAACACATTTTGGGCCGTTCAGCTTCATATAGGGATTTTAAAGTACTCAACTTTGAGAAGGAAACTACAAGACCAAATTCCTACCTTTCCTTCGTTCTCAATGATAATATTCTCAACGTCAGGATGTAGTTTCTCCAGTGCCATTCGACGACAGTCTCTGAAAAAAAGAAGCGTAACTAGATTTGTCAGTCCTATTTCTTTAGGAAATACGGACGTTGATAAATGACGCGTTGACAAAAATGTAGGAAGAAAATTTTCAAACCGCTCAAAGAAAAATTCGAGACGATAATGCTACGTCAAATTTCTTACCTATAGAAAACTCCCAAACTGTTCCAGTCAAGCAATTCACTAAGTCTTTCAGTTCTGTTTCGTTGAATGATTCGTTGTCGTCGGGACATTCCACAAAAATCGTACCTTAAAGATTATTTTTTGCTGCAGGAAAAGAATCTTCAGAATATATTGGCTCACATAATTTGTGCTAATTGTCGCACAGACTCTTCGGGACTTTTGAATCGTCGGTCGACAATGTAAATACCATAGGAAGATGGGTCTTCAACATGTTCCTGAATGTGTTGCAGGGTAATTTTAAAAAATAGATTATACATTCAGAAAAATGTAAATTTGGCAGCGTATAATTTTTTGACAGCCTTACTTGCATAAAACATCCAAAACCACTGAGATTCGTTGAAACCGACGGAATACCCATTACGGTGCATTCAGCGGGAGTATACCTGGAGTGCAAAGTTGTTGGCTGTGTAATTGCGGACCCACATATCCAAACTCTCTAAGCCCAAACAAAAACATCAGCTTACCCCCATGGCTCATAATATGAGGGGAAGACGCCTAAATGACAGCCTCGGACAAAATCTTCATAGTCCAATCCAATCAGGGGCGAAACGGATGATAAGAATTCTGAAAAATTTCTAAGTTTTCTGTCGAGTAATCCAGAGAATCAGGTCTACCTGGATGGAAAACGACTTTTACTCTATCATGGCGGTCATTTAGTAATCGGGTACGTCTCAAGGCACTGAGGACCTGAAATAGGTTTTCTTCACTTCTGATTCATCAGTAGTAGAAAAATGGGATCTCTTCCCACGTGATAAATTCCTAGTCTACCTGATCATCTCCCCGGACCATGTTGTGCGTGCAAATTGGTGGCAAATCATATTTTTCTGTCGCCATGATACATCTTTTCAGCTGTAACGTGAAGAGATTTGTGAGCCGCCTTGACCAAATTTTTCTAACGAAAAGAAAAAAATTTGTGATAAATAGACTGACCAAAACTTTTTCAGCAGGTGATAAAAGATCGTGACCATCAGGCAGCTGTCCTTGCAGACATACGTCAAACATACGTTGTCCAATGCTTTCCTGAACAACCTCATTTGTGACTCAGGTATTATGAGTTTGACATTAATTTTCGAAGTGGAATTATGGAGCTCTGCGAAAAATGATTTTGTTGTGAACGATGTACTCAAAATTTCAGTTTTAACAAATCAAAAAGACAAGAAAGCAAAATAAATAATAATAGCAATTTTTCTCATTGGCTCGCCATACAAATTGTTGAGAAACAAGCACTGAAAAAATTTTCTTGCAAAATCTTTTTAAATTTTTAATTATTATGCTACATTTGATGTTTTCGAAGGTTACAGGACATACCTTGATCCTATCTACAGCCTCTTTTAGCTGTTTCGTGACTGCTTGTCCTTTTAGCGATTCAACATTGAAGGAGTTTGAGGGGGCTAAAATTTCAGCAATTTTTTAGAAGAATATTTAGCAAGCCGATCCACCTGGATAGATAATGAAGGTAACTACGGTAACGCCTTTGTGTCTTGGGTCGCTAGTGGTTTGTAGGTAGTGATTGAGCCGAGCTAAGGACTCAATGAATAGATCGCCTCCCTTGTTTGAAAATTCGTACCTAAAATTAACATCATTTCAGACCGCAGGTAATTAGAAAAATTCGATCAAAAATATATTGAAATTGAGGTAGTTGAAGATACGGCTACCTTCCAGCTGTGAATAAGTAGAGCGTCTTGTCTAGATCAAAATCCAAATGTCCATGAAAATGTCCCCGGACGAAGTTGTGAATCTTTTCTTTGGCGAGTGAGTGCAGATTCTGTAAGAAAAACCGCTTCTTTTTTAAGGTTGCAGCTTTCCGAAGATTATCGAATAAATCATGTGAAGAACAGCTGTTATCCAAGCAAATCTATTGTTTTGTTGTCGAAGTCAAGCAAGCAAAGAAAATATGCAAAGGTTAGAAATGAACAAGAAGAACGAGGTCATGTGCAATAAAAACCTTCAAAACCAAAAAACAGAAAAAACCTCATTTTTTTCTCCTACAAACACGCAAAGTGTAACAAACAGATGAATCTCTATACTCTCCTCACCACAAAAAATTCACAGATTAATGGAAAGCTAAACTTAACAACAGCAGCGCTCGTATTTTAGCGTAGAGATGCCTTCTTAGCACCAGTCTTTTCCTTATTTTGCTCTGAAAGCCAAGCCAAAAAACGTGAGCAAGAAAATTTTTAGACCTGCCATCAAAACACAGTAATGTAAGGAGAGCATATCGAAAAGAGAACAAATATTTTTCTAACTCAAAAAATCACCTGAAACTCGTGCAAAGCAGCGAATTTCACAACGTTCAGTCCATTTGGTGTTAAAATATCCGGTTTACGTTTCAATAAATGTTCGGCTTCCAATCCTGTGATCTCTGATACTGTAGTGAAAATATGAGCTGAGTGACAAGCGGCTCGTTCGATACAGTACTGATGATAGATCTGAAATTGACAAACGTTCATTGAGTTTAATAAAAGAGTAAAATAATTGAATTTCAGAATAAACATCGAGAAACTCGAATTATTTTTCACTCTAGTCTCCTCCTAGTCATCGTTGCTATGAAATTCTAAAAATGATTTTTGAACTCTCATAAGAAATACCAACCATTCTTTTCCCAGCTTCCTCGTCAAGATTAAAATTTCCAAGGTTATTGTAAAAATCACAGCCTCCGGCGCATAGATGTCTACCCAAAAGGGTAGCATGAGTAGTATAGACGGTTGCTACGTCTAGCTTCCATAATCGTGACATAAGCACTCCAACTCCTAAATAATGAAGAAAATAACCAAAATTTCATATGAAAAAATCTCCCAGTGTTTCAAGAAGTTTGTTGAGCAAACAAGTGTTTTCAGGCAGAAAATAAGAAAATTATCGAAACAAAATTTGAAAAAAAATAGTGAGTGGATTAGCATACATGAGCACCTTAGTAGCAAAAACTAAAAACATAATTTTCATAACGAAAAAATACCTGCTTGCCATTCATGAAAATGTGCAACCACCAAAGGTCGATAGCTTGAGATAGAAGCCAAAAAATTCTTCAGGAATATAGCCACCATAAATCCAAAGATGACAGCATCATTGGATTCAATATCTTCATGTGGAATTCCAATACGACAACTAGAAAGTTTCAAGGATTTAGGGGGGGGGGGGGGGTGAATCTAGATCTAATTGAAAAAATATAATCACCGATCAAACAGCTCTTGTTTCCATTCGTTCATTTTCGGTGCCCCGGACCCAATATCGAACAATATCACTTTAGGGTAGCCGTCGATAAGCCAACGGCCATACATGCACTGAAAAAAATTCTCCAAAATTCAAATATTCTCTAACATGGGAAGAAAAATTCGGAAAGCTTTTTACGAACCTTGAACCCTGCAGCATGCATTAGTCTCATTGCTGCTCTAATAGTCCTGCAAGAGAAGAATTAGTTTTGAAAATCATCGAAAATCTCCAAAAACCTTGCCTATTTTCAGGTTCGACCTTTTCAACTTCAAGTCGCCATCTGTCATCTTTCATTGGCCCGAACATACAATATTGATCACCTGGAAATTGTTTGGGTAAAGCCTTTAACCTATTAGGTATTGGCGCAGTTGTTGAGACTTACCTAACTCTTCTATACTGATCTGTGCTTTGCTTCTAAGTACAGTATAGATACCACCGATCTAAACAAAGTGAACAAGAATTTACCCAGGGTTGAAATTGAGGCTAACCCACCTTATTTGCAACTTCCCATGCACATTCAAATACAAACCGCCCTTCCTCTCTTGCGGTTATTCCGGCATCCAACGGTAGGGTTTCACGGTTGCTTAGTTCTTCACCAGCTAATGCTCTGGCTACTTTTGAATATGAGAGATTTCGCGGCATTGCAGAATGTGCCGCCATGGCTGCTGCTGAATTTTCTCCAATAAAAACTGCTTACATAAGCGGAATGTGCAATAAAATGTTTTGAACGTCAAAAAAAAACCAGGAGAACAGTAGCGGAATGATAAAATGGCTCAAAGTACATAAGCTTGACGTGAAATTTGATATCAGGGGTGGATGAGTAAGCAGGACGAGAGATGTGACACAAATTGTAAAAATTCAAAAGACAGAAGTGACCAGTTTACCATGGTCATAACTCTTGTTACTCAATAGCAAGAATGTGTGTTTACGGAAATAATGAAGCAGAAGAACCTAGAAAGGAGGGGGAGTGGCAGTGGGCGGAGCCAGACGTTTTGAATGAGCAATTATTTTTTTTTTGTTGGTCCGTCAAAATTCTGAGTCTCCAATGGCGAATTACTAGACCAGTGATGGGACATACCTGATTATTAGAACCATTCAAAAATCGTAATTTTTGATGCTATAAAAACTTTACCCCGTCTCCTCCGCCGTTCTAATCCATTAACAAGTGATTAGTAAGTCTACAATCATCACTCATTCAACTAGTTCCCACTAAGGCGCGGTTAACGGCACGTTCTTCAATAGACGAAAACAATCAGTAGCAAATGGACGCAATAGACTATGGTAGCGGTGCGGTCGCGGCGCGTTTTAGAGAAAACTCAACACCGATGCACGAACTATGGACGATATAATTTTTTGCATGATATCAATATAAAAGAAAGGATCATGTGGGTGACAATTTAAGTCTCTAATTTGAACTCACGGGCATCCAAATGTCAATTTCACCGCTCATCGAACTCACAGCAAAGAAAATCTATTCCGTGGCGATGATAGTACACAAAATGGCCGATTTATCAGCGTAACAGGTGCTGATCGTTTTTTATGCCTTTAATTGACAACGGCAGCCCTCAAAGTGCACGCCACACTCCAAACAAAAGTGTTAATCCATAACAGTAATTAACGCTAGGTAAATGGGCTTTAGCGTTCAAACTTTGAACAATTCAGAAATAGGCAACTAATTTTCAAACTTTGTAGAAGTCACTGTCTTCAAAGATCATGTAAACTGAGACGCAAACAATTTCGTATAGGTGAATAAAGAATAATCAGGAATTTTTCTTCGCGAAAAAATAGAAAAATTAGAATGCAGAGAAAGCGACCTTGCTTGAAAAAAATTCGGAGCGTACTCACCACCTCAAAATTTTATTCTGTGTAAACAACGTGGGAGATTTCATTACATAACCTGATAGTTTTATTTGCATGTCGGGAGAATGAACCGGTCCCCGCTTAACCTTTTCATCTAATCAACAAACAATGATTTTACTAGCGAGCTTGTCAGTATCAGTGTACCTAATCTCAAATGATAAGTGACCTTGAAAAGTGCGCAGCTCGAGATTCTTGGATTTCTGAAGAAAACCGGTTCAGATTACGTACCTGCTAGGATGTTACTTAATACCGCTTCTATCCCTCTGCGCCCTCCCCCCTTTAGTCTAGCCTAAGGTAAAGTACAGCCGTCTGGCAAAAGACGAGAAAGAAGTGCGAAAAATGCTCGAAATTGATACAACAATTTCAGACAGCGACATTCGGTAGTTTTTATTTGAGAGACAATGAACTGGGACAGAAATCCCAAATCCCGCATGAAATGTCAGGTCATTTCAAAATGACAGGATTGATATTTGTCCCCAAAAATCATGTCGCAAAGCATTGTGATATGTGTCATTACGCTGTCAGCTGGAAGATATAAACGCATATTACATAGCTTTAAAAGACTTTCTGATAATTCGGAGACTTTTTCGCAACAGTTTTCGCTCCAAATTTTCTGAAGGCCGCTGAGAGCTCAAATTGCTATCACACGCTATTTCCGCAGAACAAAATATTGGCTAGACGCAAGGTCATGCCGCTTTCGCATAAAACACGCTCGTTTGTAGAACTCGTTTGTGCATACTTTGAACTTATTCTGTAGCGTGCAATCACACACAAAGTGCAGAGGGATGATGTCACGACTATAGAGAGGCGTGCGTGTCAGCGCTTTTCTCAAAAAAATTGAAAACTTGTTTGAAAAATAATGCTTCACTTGATGTGAAAAACAATTTGATAAAGTGGAAATCGTAATTTTCGAGCATTTATAAAAAAGCATAACTCATCAGGAAGTATATTACTAGCAACCCAACAACTTCATTTCGGTGACGCAGTTAATACTCCGCGGCAGTGTGGCAGCTCGGCCTCAACGCCTTTGAGTCGCATAGGCGAGACAAGGACAAGCACGCGCGCAGTTGACTCGGAGGCAGCACCTCAACAGATCTGCAGTGCTGGTCGCCAAATAGCAAAGTATGCTTGTTACATCGGTGAACCATTTCTTTTGAAGTGTGCAGTTGCATATCGTACACCGAAAGCCCCAAAAATATAGAACGGTAAGCTCAATTTTATGAATTTTCTCCAGTCAAATTTGTTGTTTGCTTCGGTTTGGAAATTATCGTGCAGGGACTCTAGTTTACAAAAAAGCTAACCAATTTACCCACCTTGATCGAATCCCATGATTAGACCGTCTGATGGAAAGGTGATATGTCCGAACTAAGACACAACTGCTCAGCACTCGCGTCAGCGACTTGGCCCTTCCCCTCTGGTTTTTATATAGTAAAAACTGCATTCTTACCAGTTTGCGCGTATGTCCTTGAAATTTTGGTTATAGTTCGATTAATATGTCCTCTTACACGTGACGCTGTACGCCATATTTACCGCAGTAGGGGGAAGTTTTACAAATTATAGATTATCTCGAACTTTGCAATGACCAACGACATATGACCCAAATATCCAAGTAACCATTGAACACTTTTGCCAAAATTTTTGCTTCTCACTATTTGAGTGTACTTCGAGTGAACATCTATTTAAAAAGAGTATGCTTCTAACGGTAGTCTCAGCTCAGCATCAATTTACAGAAAATATTTCGGTCTGTAAAGGGACATACATTATTGCAGCAATACGCTATAACAACGAGGCAACAGATGCGAATTGCTGAAAATAAGGCAAAAATGGGCGTGGCGTAGGCGGAGTTAGTTCGAGCAAAGTTTTCTCGTTTCAGATAAGTCTGAATGCAGTAGTTAGGTCAAACATCGCTACATAAGACGGAAAATCAATCAGTGGATTGTTTCTTTACTTATTACATTTAGCATATATTTTCTTTCATAATAAGCACATTGCTTACAACTTCAACACAAGATACTTCATCGCCTGTCGCCAAACTGGATAATTCTCTTAACGATTTCCTACGCATTCTAATGGTAAGGGTTTAACTAAATGTAAATATCGACTAAAAACTCCATGCTGCAAATGTGTCTTCCTTTTCTCTTATCAAATCAGAAGCAAATTCAAGTCCAAAATAGTACAGTTAGTGATAATGCTATTAGTTGCACGAGTCACGTAAAAAAGAGACGGATTCAAAGAAAAACTACTAAATGAAATTGATAGAGACAAATCAATACAGATCACATCTAATCAATCAACGTGCTACGTAGAGAACAGAAAACTCTGCCTAGATGCATTATTTGTGAGATAATAATGATCTATATTCGAGGAAATGTTTTACAAATTGAATGCAAAATTATCTAATGAAATGATAACGTTCAAAGATGAAATAGGGCTCAGATAATTACCAAAAAATTGGTTTCGACCAAAGTATTTCGAATTCTTCTAGAGCTTAAAGAACCTTCGAATTGGTGATGGGTCTAGGTATATCAATAATGAAGCTTTTTTGATTGACGCTGAACAGCTGTCAGGGTCATTATTGGATTTTTTAGGACGAGAAAGGATTGAGGAAGGTTAATCGATACTTTCTTCCACAAGCTTATAGGGCCCGATCAAATTTAATACCATGTATTTTCCGAATCTTTACGCACTTCTAGTATTCAATTTCCGTCCGAAGGACGGCAGCTAGTCTGGAATGGTAGTCCAGTTTACAGAAGCGAAGCATAATTATGCATGATTTTCAGAGTAAGAATAAGATGTGATCATGGGTTGAGAAAAAATAACGAAAATTTACGCATTTCATGCTCTTCAGTCAAAAAAAAGAAGCTTTTGGGAATTTTAAAATTCTGATATCACCATAGGGCATTATTGTTGTATTTACAAAATTTTCGACAGAGTACTACACGCGGTAAAAATAACGCAAGTGCAAAGAAACAGCTTTACACTTGAAATCTTAAGATTCGTTGAAGTCACATGGATGCGGCAGAACAGTTGACACCGAAAAATGTTGGTCTCTGTGGATGATTAATGGACCTAGAACAGGCTGGTTATGGTTCGAAAATTTTTAGGATCAACACGAAAGTCAGAAAAAAATAGTGACTGAAGAAACAATGATTGGTAGACGTCGTCGAATAGAAGTCAGGATTTGAAAAGAATGTGTCATTGTAAGAAGTCTTACCACAAACTCTATATTTACACTTTTGTTGACAAAAGTGTCTACTGTGATGACACGAAATCCGAGAGTTTTAGTTTTGCTCCTAGGATTGAAGTTTTAGAGACTGGAAACCAACAATTAAACATTCTGAATAGTTTTAGAAATTACAAGACAACCTTCATCTGGATGTTGTTATTCTAAATCAGACTTACGCACCAAAGTGACCAAGACTTTATAGGGTTCACAAATTTTTAGAAATATGTTAAAGGATACGCAGCTGCTGCCAGAAATTTTTTCTTCGGGGAGACGACAAAATTTTTTCGAGTGAGGAGTAAATGCTCTACAGGATTCTCTCTGTCCCTCAGTAAAGATATGGATTTCCTCCAAGCGTATGGAATACATTTAGAGAACATTAAATACCATAAAGGCATTAATACTAGCATGACGTAAGGCTTCTTTATGGATGATCTAAATGCCACGCCCTCGAGCAGAAAATTTTGTTAGTGCCACAGAATCTGAGTATAAAGTGTGTAGATGTAATTAACTACACTGGTGACTGACTGCAGTTATTTATTCGAGAGAAAGCGGAAACATCGAAAAAACCTCAAGGGGTTGATTGGTAGGATCCTGATGCCTCTCCTCGCCCAAAAGTCTGCACATTTAGAGCTAAATCAAAGAAACGATAAAATGATACAAATAATATCAGTAGCAGCAGCATCAGCAGCGTTGACAACAAAGACCGCGAAAATCTCACAACTGATAGCGAAGCAGACGCTAAACAACAAACAACGCAGCGACTGCTGTGCGCCGTCTCAATAAACAACATAAGAGATCAGAGCGGAGAGCAGATCGCAATCAATTTCAAGAGATGATATCACAAGGAGCCGGAGAGAGAACTTTGAAGTCCAGATGTGAAGCACGAGACCTACGCTCTTCGGAGCGAGAGGTAAACAATGTAAACAACACGCGCCGGTGAGCTTTTTCTGCGGCGTCATGGGCTCGGCGAAAAGGAGCGATGATAGCAGGAAAAAATTGAGGTCCCGTGGCGATGGGCAAGGTTTTTGTTTCAGTTATATTAGCAATACTGATCACAACAGCGTAGTGGTGGCAGAATCGTGATCGATAAGGTGGAAGGCGGGGGGGGGGGCTGAAAACTAGCGCGAAATCAAAACGCTTGCTAGCTGCCATTTGCTGAACAAAACTACGACAACCGCTGATCGAAGTGTGCGAGCGTGAAGGGAACGCAAAATTCCCCCCCCCCCCTCTTCCCCACTTCACCCAATGAACATAGCCGATCACAACCACAGCTGTCGGATAGCCGTTATCCCCGTCCCTCTACCACTGACAGATTGTGTTCGCTGAAATGAGGACATTCTGCAACCCCCCCCCCCCCCCGATGCACTTCCCTGCGTATACGCCACACTAGTGATGTTCATGAGTCGAAGGCGAAAAAAAAAACAACAACGGGAGATGACTAGAACCCCGAGTGACCTTTACGGTGCGGCTACTCAGGATGTAATATAACGACGCTCGCTCGCTCTCTCTGCCCGAAACGCACAGCACACGCGAACGTTTATTCAATGATTTGCTAACGATTCTTGACAGTGATAGCTAGCTAATGGCTGACAGAATGTTGAAAAAATGGGCTCCTAGTCGGAAAACTATTGGAAAAAGTGCATTCCATACAACGCCAACTCTCCGTTTGTTTCGCTTTTCTTTTTACATTGTCTCGGATTGATTCTCGTAAATGTATCTATAGGCTAAATAAATAGGTACAAGGCTCCTAATGCCAAATAATCGTTAAGAAAATTTCTCAGTGTCAGAGTAAAAGTCAAAGAAGAAGAAAACATCTGTTAGAGCCCAAGATTGAAAAATAAATAAAAATCAAAATTATCGAACGATTTGCCAGTTTCTTTGAAGCAATGTAAAAGACGCGAATTTACCTTTAGTGAGGAAAATGGTAGAAACTCAGTTTGTTTACTCTTCCTTCGGTTCACAAGTAATTTTTCCTTGCAAAATGCGGTGATCTTCAGGAAGCTGAAAATATTGACCTAGCTTCCAATTATTGTTAGTAGCAAATTTGTTTCAGGATTATAATTAAACGTTGCCGCTTTATAATAGAATCTTAAGTCTTTCTACTACATTTCTGCTCTCCTCAATTTGTCAGCTTTTCGAAAACGATTGATTTTTCTGCGCTAACGTCAAGTAGTAGTACATGTTTATAGACTAAGTAGCTAAATTGTCAGAATTAATCAGCAACGTAACTGATGTGGGCGCTGCATGTTCCATATAAATGCCGTACTAAGAAAAGTTAATAAAACTAAACGCTAAAACGTTGCATTATGTCAGAGAAGACTTTGAAATTCTAAGCGAATGCACAACGTATGTTGAGATATATGGATTAGCGAGTTGGTCAAATAGTTTCCAGATAAATATATTGATAAAACCCATTTTCAAGTTGCATTCAGATGAAAAATAGAGTGCCGGAATTTCGTGAACTCTTGCAAAACCATGGTCCCAAGAAAAGCAAAATGCCTTGCATGTTATCAAACCAGTACTTCCATGTGGGCCAACATCAACAATCTTCCAGGTTATCAGCAACGCAAACACTTAATGCAAATAAGCGTAGGTAATAGTAACTCGTAAAACCACTGCTGATTAGGGCAAGAACCAATTAGTACGCTTAATGACCAGAGATTAACATCACCAAAATACGTAGTTCTTTCTTGGAATGATTTTTGAATGCGATTGAGCTACAAGCAGTATCTACATCTTCGTCAACAGATTGAATTGTAAGAATTATACGATCATGGTGAGATATGAAGACCAAAGCAGACTCACTTTTCAATTTACTACAACACAGGCAAAATTCGAGTTAAGAAGGTAATTTTTCTATCCCATTCAATGACTACAAAAAAGACTCAATTACTAGAATATTTTGTATTGAAGATAATTTTTCATCCCTTTCCAGGTATCTAGAAAATACATTTAATTTAGTAGAAACTATTGTAATAAAGACAGAAACTGCCCTCTGCGTAAATTGAAGTTCGATCAAATTACAGTCAACTATTTATGAATATTCTCACATCATTAATTCACATGTTTAAAAATTCGATTTTGAAATGATTATGGCAGACGGTCTAAAAAGGAAACCGAATTAATAACGTTCAAGATACCGAAAGAAATATGCTCTAGAGACGAACTAGCCGATTCGAGAACGTTCCTTGAAGAGAACGATTCATTGACTTCTTGCCAGCGATCCTAGGTCAAGGAGTACAAGAACAAGGCAGCAATGGTGGCTTCTCAGAATGTAAAATATTCTCGCTAAATTTTATAAAACTCATCCAGACTTCTGGACATTCTGAAAGCGTGGCATAAATATCGACGTATGTAGAGCGATTGTTTGAGGTTGCTCGAAAAATTCTTTTTCCTAATTTCGTGTATTTTTTGAAATGGTGAATGCTTTCAAATTCTTCCAGTTATCTAAAGTGAAACAAGAACCTCAGACCTTCGTGGTAAGGGGGAATTGTGAAATCCATTTTTACATAGTTCTAGCGTTGGCATTGGTGAGTTTTTTCAACAAAGTAGTGGTTAGATTCAGAAAGGTTTGAATGTTTGTTGTGACATGTGCTTCAGGCTACTCATTCTCTGTGCGATTTTTTGGTCCTTCTTTTATGGAATAGACATGAATAGTACGGAAGGAATTCAAGATGTATTTGCAATTTACTCCAGTATTTCAAGAATGGCAATGGAGAAAATCCTGTTTTTTCGCTCATAGCATTTGAAGGCAGTGTCTCACCAAAATTTCGTTGCCGAGATTTTTGCATTTTGCAAGCCTGCCGGACCCTGTCTAGCACTGTATGGGCTCAAAATCTCACGAAGTTCCCAAAAACCCCGTTTCTGGAGACCCCGCGGAAGCAAAGTGGACGAGTTGTGCCTTCCAATGTCAGCCTCAGCCACAGTGGCAGGAGGACCGGCCCGCCGCCCGTTACCGTCGGCTCAGTACGCGCCGCAGTCCGCGTCGCACTGAAACTCACCATTGAAGCGCGTTTTTGCGCTGTCGTTGCAAATATGCAAAAAGAGTTAGCACCATGCTATTACCCATCACCACCTGTTCATCACTTTGTAATCACCTAGCATAGGCACATCTGCCCGAAAAGGACAAGGTCCACGGCAAATCCATAACCTCATGCCATACACCTTCCAGAACTCCACGAAGAAGCCTCATTATGGAAAAATACGTATGCTGTTTGTATCTAGCATACCAGATAACTCTCTTAGACCAATCAAAGCCAAATCTGTGGTTTTGACCCCGGCACGCAATGCAAGAAAATAAATAAGTTGTCGGAAAAATCGTAAATAACGCGTGGGAGAATGCCCATCTATTGTGTTCCAGCAAAATCATAGCTTGAAATTTAAGGCCTGGATGTTAGAATAGCGCCGATCTCGTAGAGGCGGAATGCTTGCACATTGCTGTATAAACTCCACCATCCATTCAAGACTTGTGCGGGAAAGGAGGCTGCACAACACATGGTCCTACCAGGGAGAATAGACTAAACAGCACACGACTCTACATTTCCACATCGTTTTACTAGTCATCTTTAGACAGTGAGCGTGAATTGTGAAGCCTACAATTCGTAGATGTTCATTCTTGTTGCGATGTCTGTTGCGAAAATTTCTCGAATTGTATTTCAGCGGATACAGTGAAATTACTGTGACTTAATGAATGCGATACTCTCGTTTAATAGGAAGGTAGCGCCTCAAAACCACATTTAGCGACATGTAACTCAATAGTTTTGGATTGGTATTACTGCCAGAACTCTGCCCCGGACTGAAGCTAATGAACTTATTGACAAATTTGGAATCCCGCTAATGCCATATTTCCCGTGACTGAACAAGCATGTGAGTGGACAGAGTCATTGACTCTAAATTTGCATACCATACTGACATCCTATGAGACCGGCCATGATTCCTACAATTCCTGCGATTCCTGTGGTTGCTGCGGGTCTCGTAATATTGTATATTGCGAAAGAACAATGTATAATGAAATTTGCTAAGCGCTCCATAGTGCAGCGTATCGGAAGTCGAGGAATCACAAGAATTGCAGGAATTAAGGAGTCGCAAGAATCACCTCCTAAAATAGTATGGCCGATCCCTATCTGTCCAACCTGTCCAGCCATAAAGCCTTGTCTTCGTGGTGTAACAGAGTGAGTCTAATCCGGACCGCGCAAATAGTCGTGATCTCAGCAACAGAGATGCGTTATTTTGCATTATTTTTATACATGTTCTATCCTCTCTAATATAAGAAGCGGACAATTAAAAATGGAGGAATTTCGTCTGCTTAGGCTCATGCCTATCTTTACTGCGTAGGTCTCTCCTTACTGCCTGCTCAAATTTTACCGGCATATTTTAGTGTTTGACCCATACTTGTGATAGAAACAATTGTTTGGCGTCTACCACCTGCACAAAAGCACGCAAGGCAAAGTGATCGATTTGTTTGGCGAAGTGCTCCGCCAAACGGAGCCATAACGAAATCTACACACTGAAATAACGTTTGAAAAACACTTTTCGTCTGGTAACTTAGAATAGTCGCGCAAAATTCTCTCATGCTCAATGGAACGAGTATACGGGTGCACGCGTCGCCTTTGAGCCGCGGCGCGCACTGAGCCGACGGTGACGGGCGGCGGGCCGGTCCTCCAGTGGCAGCAACAGAGGGGAAGTGGATGCCAAGTGGAGGGACATGTTCAAACGCGTAAGGGGGGAAACCGAAGATGTCGTCCGCGCGTACCAACTCGCTCTTCGCGTACCACTTTGAGCGAATTTTTCTCTGCGTGGAGGGGGTCAAATTGAGTGGGACTTGTTGCAATGGCCTATTTAGAGGTCCCTATAATAGAATATGTGAAGATCCGCGCAACCTCAATTTTGGTGAGACATTGCCTTCAAATTCGAGTCAAGTTGAGAATGGTTGGGCAGCTATCTTAGCATGATTTTGCATATTCACTACTTGAGAGCATCAAAATCTACAGAAAAAAATGCGAAAAGCATGGACAACCGATGCGATCCATCCAATGGGTTCTTATCAGCGTCACATTAACAATTATAAACTCTACGGATGAGTTGATTGATCAGCTGGTCGATGGACAAAGTTTATGCCCTAACCTCTCCGCTGCTCTCTCGAGCGGCCATCAATCAGAAGCCAACATTGCTCGCAAACATAGCAAAAACATTTTCCGGACACGTAACAACAGTTGCTGCTATGGGATTTTTTGAGCTTCAATTATCACAGAAAAGCTAGCGATTACTTCATGAATTACCGCATTTCATTAGCAAAAACATTTTATTCTTACACCAATAGTCAGGCGAGTTGATGCTCTGGCCGTAACACGCTCCCTTACGAAAGCGGGCCATAGTTTTGCAAGAGGTTACCGTAGCTAAATAACCTGTAGTCGATTTCGATACGGAGTCTTTCACACAATAGGGACGAACACACGCTTGCAAGGTCCGCTCGAGCGCGCAAATCTTGCATGGGCGTCCGCCTTCATTCCAAGCTAGCCGTTAGACCATGGTCTGGCCACAAACAATTAAGCATGACTCGAACTTCCTGTGATTTTCACTGGCTACTCCCACAACTGGTCCACCTGCCTTGGGCATTGATGCCAAGAAGTGACTGACAGTAGCTTGAGCCTCATTCCAATGAAACTCAAACTAGAGCAAAAGCAACTCGAATGCTGATCCTTCTAGCAATTCGCTGGCCTCCGTGTAGGCGCCTGTTCTCATTTTGCAAGTTGTGACTGAGTTATGACAGCATCATATGTAAGACTGATGACTTACAGTCGCTTCATTTCAAACGATCATGTGTGTCATTGCACACACAGTTCATCTTTGGCGTCCCCATCCTGGATTCGCGTAAGAAACAAGCCTTCAGGTAGGTGTTTCCAAGGTGTTCTTAGAATTTTCTTTCCTTTTTAGTTACTAGTCACCTCAAATTGATCTAATCGATAACAATCGGTAAGTCTCTTGCGTTTTTGCGATTGCAAATCCAGGATGAGGACGCCAAAGTGGACTGTGTGGGGAGACGGTCTTTTCGCACGGGCGGTCTCCAGCGTCTCCCTGATTTTGACTTGTCTCAACATGTAATGCACGCCGCAAATCTTTCCTCCCCCTGTTTTGCTTAGGCAAAAGCCGCCGCAGGGTGTGTCGCGCGCGGCGGCGGTCCTCTGGGGAAAGCATTACGGTCGTGCGAAACGTCACATACCCGACTGTGTGTGCAATGGCACACATGATCATATGAAATGAAGCGACTGTACGAAACTGGACTTTACTTGGGGCCTGAGAATACCCTCCCACAAGCCTTGCAATGTTTCACATTCAGCTCAAGAATTACAACTGCATACACCCTGTATGAGTAATGACTCATTTACATGCTTATACTATATTTGATTTCCTACGATCCCCAGTAGGATGCTGCGTGCTTTCTCGAGCAGCAACCAAAATGCTGAAAACTTGGTTGCTTTTGCTCCGTCCTATGATATGAAGTCAGCACTATGTAAAGCGGACTGAAGAGTTTTTATCTGTAGAGCTTGTAGATCTTTCACCTAACGAATCATTCCCGAGAATGGACTATGAGGGGTGAACTACAAAAAACACCCTGGAAGTGAGGTAGGAGATAGATGATCCTATAAAAAAGGAAAAAGGCAGGTCCTGCGAGGTTAGCAGATAACGAAATAGCCACTTGGCCTTGATGGAGCCGCCATGGCGGACTTCAATGCACACAAGAACTTCTTGCTAATTCTTTATGTACACATATGAGAACGGTTAAAAGCAAAATAAAACATGGGCAGGATATGCAAATTCAAGAAGCTTTCAAGAGAATGCCAAAGGATGGCAATTTTAGGTTGTGCTCTGCTTGCAAAGATCATCAAAAGCCTTCGTCTTCTCTATCATCGTCGCATTATCCCAAATCACTTTACCTTTTAGCTCACTGGAGCAAGCACCAACAATCATTGCCTGCAAGAAAAAATAAAAACATTGTAGAATGTCGACTTTTTAGAGACGGAATAATTTCGGAAAGGTGCTCACTTTAGCAACATCCTCTGTAGAGATGGCGACAGAGTTTGTAAAAAGCTTCACTGGCTTTATTGCGAGCTTTGCGATAGATTCGAGGAGTCGAGATTCTGTAAAAAAAGTGTGCTAGATGAAGGGACATATATACAGGGTGCCCCAAAAGTAAGTGCACACTTTTCAAACGTCAGTATCTTTCTTCCCAATGTATTTTTCCGCCAGTCAATTACCATTCTGTAGAGGAGCCTTCAACTTAGATTTACAGTATGGAGGGAATTGCGGATTGCTCTTCATTACTGTAAGATTACGGTACGAACTTCCAGCATATGGAACCAATGTGAAATATACAGCTAACAACATTTTCTTCAAAAAATCTTGAAAATCGTGTATTAGAGTTTTCGCGCACGCTAATTCCACTACACAACTTACTACGAGTGTTTTCAGCTTATTTGACAGTCTAATCACCTTTCTGACAAATTCTGGAATTTTGGTTATTACGGTTTACCTGAGATAACTTCGGAAAGAAGCATCACAATAAAGTGGAAATTTCATATTCGAAATTAGCGGCTTCAATTACCATAGTACACGAGTTTTTGGCTTATTTGGTTTTGTTCCGAGGCAGAATATGGCTTTCAACGGCCTAAAATCCTTGTCGAAGTTCCTACAATAATCCTACAGTAATGAAGAGCGATCGGTAATTCGCTCGATACTACAAATCTAATGAAGCCTCCTCTACAAAATGGTAATTGAATGACGAAAAAAGACACAATGGGAAGAGAGATATTAAAGATTGAAAAGTGTGTACTTACTTTTGGGACACCCTGTATATGGCCCCACTTTCTTACCTTCTCTTGGGCCTTCCAAAAAGCCAGGGTGCATGATGAGAAATTTATCAAATCCCAGGGCATCGACGTCCCGCTCAGTTTCGCCCTAAAGTGTCTTTCGAGAGTAACGCAAAAAATTACTATAAAGACCAAATGTTACTATTGAAGCAAGACTACTGAATTTTTCATTCTACTTACCTTTGTCTTGGGGTATAAAAAGAATGAATTTTCATTCGCTCCAGCAGCAGTGACAAGCACAAACTCCTTCACACCTGGATATGATTGAAATCAAGCACAGAAATGATTTACCAGAATTTTCCTTACATAGGAAGAGAACCATAGACTTACCTTGCTCCTTGGCTACCTTTGCTGAGTTCACAACATAATCATGATCGACCTTGTAAAAGCCTTCCTAGAAAGCAACTACTGTTTGTTTTGTCGAAAAAAGAGATGTGAGTAGATAGATAAACGCGAAAAGAAAAGAACGAGACAAGCAATCTTTATACTCACCTTACCGGCTTTACCTCGAGTCGTACCTAAAGCGCAGAAGCCAACGTCTACATCCTTGAAGGAATCCGAATGTTTTTCAATTTCATCGAAGTTGACAATAACTTGTTCCTAGTACAGCGATATGAAGACGGGCATCTCAGACAGATAAACACAAAATATGAACAGACTTGCTCACTATGGACTCATTCTCCTGTGGAATTTTTCTTCTTCCGATGATGACAATTTTCTTGAATTGTTTGGATTTGAGCAGAGCTTCGACTAACTGCGTGCCAACAGCTCCCGTGGCTCCCAAGACGAAGGCGGTTTTCAACATAACTGCAAAGGTTAGACTGAGATTGTGGTAACTAAACACATTACGTAAGTCAGAGCTACGTCATAATAATTTTGCACGCAATGCTGTTAATGACGGATAATTGACTTGGTAAACAACCTCATCTTAATTGGCGCGTTTCAGATGTGGCAGTGTGCATTGCAGAACGCAGCGTTTGTCGGCTACTCCCGGAAAAGAAAATCTACAAGAAGCGGACTGAAAAGAATAGTCTGAGGCATCTATTCAGCTTCGCCTCCTCTATCTGACAGAGCAGAGTTAAACTTTCAAAATTTTTATTCTTTCAGAAGACAACACAAGGTGGCCAACAGACTTATTAGTAGGAAAAAGCCGTAGAACTGCGCTGATGATGTTTGGATTTTATCCGGTAAGCAGCTTCCTTCATCCGTGTGCATCTCTCTCCGACCAGCTGGTCTTCTATCTGTACCAAGGGCGAACTAACGTCGATTCGTTGACCGCAGACTGGACGCCATTGCAGAGCACGCGCCGCGAGGTAAAACGCTTGACATTCACCATTCACCATTCTTCACAAGGGATGCCCATAAACGGCCGCGGAACTGGTGGGGAAAATGAGGCGCGCCCCAGTGCCAATCGATTGGAGCACGTTATTCTTCGTGGACTTAGTCACTGCTCGCAAACCGCTGCTGTATCAGTCTTCATAATTGATCTTCCACACTGTGTTATAGGGTCATAAGTATTGGCTTGTTGTAGAGAACTGTTCACCTCCATGTTTCGCTTTCACGTATGGGGACATACCTTGATTAGAAGATTGTACGCGCTGAACTCTGTATGTTCCAAGCTTTGCTACTTTAGGTCGAAGGCCAGCGTAGAGTCTTTTCACACCCACATCGGGCGCATCCTCAGACAATGGATCGGACCCCTCCGCTGGGGAAATGGCAGGGTCGCGGCGTTTCCCCAGCGGTGGGTCACCCATTCGTCCGGCGGAGCCCTCCCATTTCTCCGGCGGAGACCTCCCATTTCTGCTCCGGATACCCCCCATTTTCTGCTCCGGATACCCCCCATTTTCTGCTCCGGATACCCCCCATTTTCTGCTCCGGATACCTCCCATTTTCTGCTCCGGAGCCCCCCGATTTTGTGCGCCGGAGCCCCCCGATCGCGGCATACTGTAATTAGCCCTAATTAAAGGCAGCTTCCAGGCAGATCTGGACCTATGGGGCTTTTACATGGAAAGTACTTTTGGGGCCCTAACTAAGGCACTGCCGAAGCAGCAGCTCAGGTAGTGCTCCAATGGCTGAGATATTCCCCTCGAAACAGACCCCCGCGAACGTACTCGCATGGATTCATGGCAGTTTCGCGCCAGGATCCACTCTTTGCGCCATGAATCCATGCGAAACACGGTCGCGGGGTCCGGTTTCGAGCAGAATATCTCAGGCGTTAGAGCACTACTTGAGCTGCCGGTTGGGTAGTGGCTTAGTTAGGGCCCCAAAATACTTTCCATGTAAAATCCCCATAGGTCCAGACTTGCCTGGACGCTGCCTTTAAGCTCCAAACCCCAATTTTGTCTCTAAACCCCACCCAAATAAGCCGAATAGGACCCCCTCCCCCCCGGGTAGGAGTTTAGCGCGACCCTCACCCCGTACTCTACCCCCTCCCTCTCACCCCTAGCGTTTGTGGATAGAAGATAGAAGAAAGAACGAAGAGATAAGACATTTATTTCAAATTTATCAAACTTTCGAAAAATCTATCTATCTATCTCCAGCATACGTACAACAGTTAATTCATATTACAAAAACCATACTAGGAGTGATAAGAATATTCAAAGAAAAACTAATTTCCTAGTTGCAAAAAGAACCTTGTAACACCACAGTATAAGCATATGGTTTTAACATGGTAAGAAAATGACAAAAAGATCAAAAAAGCATTCTGTGCAACATGAAACAAAACAGCGAGGAACGCCATAAACTCACATTTGCAAAGCAGGGATATATTGTCCAAGTGCGATATATACATGAGCTATATTCATCCAAACATCTTCGAATTCCGAGGTCCAAGGCCATACTGGGGCAAAACGAAAGTAGGATGATTCAACGTAGTTGCTTGATAATAGTACTAGGACACGATGATGACATGGATTGAAATTCTTGCATATGCAACTTACCTTGAACGCCTTTTCATAGTCTCTGTTGAAATGGAAAAACCGCGCAAGAATGTAACAAGCTTCGGCCTTGATTTCGTCACTTTCCGTCATACTCATTGCATGCCACGCTAACCGTTCAACCTTGTTCATTTCCTGAAAAAGTGATGCCTTCAGATAAAGCGATAAACACCTCGATGTAACAGCTTGGACAAATTTAATAGGTCCCTTTTATAGATAATTCGTAATTAATTCAAAGAATTTCTGCACTGACTCCTTTGAAGAAGAAGTGGTTGGCAAGATGGACCAAGACAACCGGATTCTCCGGCTCCAGACTATACGCTTGGCCTAGACAAGCCACTGCACTTTGGGCTCCCTCGACAGTATGCGTATTGTAATCCAAAATGGCAAGTGCTGAGAGAGCACAAACATTGTCATTTTGCAATTCCAACGCTTGTTCAAAAGCGATTCTGCAAATTGTAATTGAAAGTCACATAAACAGTAAAGAAGAAGCTATGTGACTCAAACATTTCACATTTACATGCTTACCTAGCCTTATCAGTCCCTAATCTCGCTAAGCAATACTGGAAGCAATGTGATGTGACTAAGCAACAGTAACAGTCACAATGCTTCAGTAACAGTCACAAAACTTCAACATCGTTTGGAGTTGCCTCCAAGACTTTTGTCAACATATCTCTTGCCTTGTCCTATCTTTCAAGCCAGAAACGATATAGTGAGGATCTGCAACGTCTGATGAAAAGTCGATCGACTTGGTAAGCATACGTACGAGAGAGATAGTGTGGACCCCGGCCAGCTTCAGGTACTAGCGCGGCGCACACGCAACGCGCGCCCGACTTGAACGCTTCTCATTTCACTTACGAACAAAAAAGCATTATAACCGAAAACAGGAGTGAAATGAGATGTGGAGGCCTCTAATCCGAACACGAGAAAAGCCAAGGCAATAGGAGAACCTTCACAACTTCTACTACTAGCGCTCAGATTCCAGTCAATCTCATAAATAACTGGAATCTTCTATTATCCATCGCTAGTAGTGTATGACACTACCAGCGATGGATGATAGAAGTAACAGGAAAAGTCGAAGAACAATTCTGAAAAGTCTTCCTTCTGTTCATAAAAAAACCCAGAAAGTTTGAGCTCAAGAGCACGATTGCAAAGCTCTGATGGTGTAACAAAAGGCTAGAAGCATCTACACTCCACAAAATCAACTGCATATACACTTATTCTGAACATTTGGAGAGATGTCTCTGAACTACACCGAAATCTTCACTATTGAGAAAAAAACAAGATTTTCGAAACAAATGCTTGCAAGACTGTCAAGACTCGTAAAAATCCATCACCAGCAGTTGACGTGTGTCGTTTACATCTAAAGTAGAGATTACAGAAGAGAACAAACACACTTGAAAGAGGAAATTGAAAGAAATCCCTTCAGAGCCGAAACGAAAAGCGCACTGAAGGCATGCGCTGCGGGCGCGCCGCGGAGGTACCTATGGGAACCTGGCCGGGGTCCACACTATAGCAATAAACGGATTATTTAGACGATACTTTCATCACAACAACACTAGATAGTTGCGCAACTAACCTCATTGTTTCGAAAATCCAGAATTAATCACAAAAACCACTCCATCAATAGTCTACGATGTCTCAGCAAGTCGGAAAGAGCCAAACACTGAAGGTGATTGAGTGCAACCGCACGAAAATTTCAAACATAAACCTGAAAACGAGGAACTTACAGCAACATAAACGCCAACGCGACGAAGAGCAACGCGGAAAAGGAAAAAACGGTAAAGAAACGCGCAAAAACAACAGAATCAAATAAACGGCGACTAAAATATGGACAAAGAGCGTAAACAGAGGACTCATCACCGTGGAGTTAGACGTTTGCTTGCTACGCGCCAAATCGATACGCAGCCTGCTCCGGATACCTCCCATTTCTCCGGCGGATACCTCCCATCTTCTGCTCCGGATACCCCCCATTTTCTGCTCCGGATACCTCCCATTTTCTGCTCCGGATACCTCCCATTTCTGCTCCGGAGGCCTCCCATTTCTGCTCCGGACCCCTCCCATTTTCTCCGGCGCGACTCCGCCAGATTTGCCAGGCTCGCGCCGGACAAATTTGTCCGGCGCGAGCCTGGCAAATCTGCCAGGGTCGCGCCGGAGAAATGGCGGACCTTTGCAGCAGGGCCGGAGAAGCCTCCCATTTGCCTGGCAGTGATGTCACGCGAGGGACCGCCCATTTGCCCCGCTCTCATTGGTCAATTGGGTCCGGCGCGAGTCTGGCAGTTTCGGCTTGCCCAGCGGAGGGGTCCGATCCATTGTCTGAGTCCGCGACAACATTGTCAACTCTCACGTGCTTACGTGCATCTATCGGCCAAAACCTCTCGAATACAAACATGACGTGGATGAAACTCTTTTTAATAAAGTTGTTCGGTCGAGGATATCATCGTACAATGTGGAGGGTTCGAAACTGAACATGGTTAGCCTATCATCCTACGCTCACCCTCAGTAATTTTTATCAACATTTCACCGGGTTTTTTGGCCATGAGAAGGTCGAAGTCGAGTCTGCACGTATCCCATTTTACTCGGTTAGGGCCTTACAATGTTTTTGTGCAGTAGTTACTTTATCACTAACAAAGTGTCAGCCCATTCATACTGATTTTACATGGATCGGGCAAAGTATGAATCTACAAACGCGTATGTTGAGGATGAATATCATTCATTCGCTGACCAAGAGACACGAGCACGCTTCGGGTACGTATGGTTAACAAGTTCATGAGTGTGTTTTGAAGCATTTTGGAAAATCACTACTAGACTTGAAAGATCATGTTCGGACTCACATTATTTGACAAGCTCGCATATTCCTTCAAGAAAACTAACGAAAACGCGTCAGAACCCACTCATGAACTTGCTAAGCAAACTTATGCAAAGCGTGCCCGTGTCTAATAGTCAGAGAATGGATGGTACCTTCTCTTAGATTCGAATTTTGTGATGTGGGAAATGTACAAACAATGTTGGCGAAAACACTACAGCTTTGATACGGATCGGTAAATAAGAAGCAGACGGGTAAAACTCACAAAGCATGGCAATAAGTAAATGTCCTAATTCAGATGGCACCGAACGCGCTAACATGGACAAAACTGGAAAGCAAGTGCCCACAGTCACTAGAACCCTACATTGAAGCATCGCCTGGATGGTCGCTTGGAGATTGCTAATCATGTTGTAGTGATGTTTTGACGATGACTATGCATTTGTCCTTTGA